CAGTGTTGCTTGCCTCGAAGCGAGCATAAAAAGCATTTGTGTTCGTCTGGTAGGCTCGTGTCACTGGGCAGCTCGCGGCTGGGTTTCCCTTTGTAGTCTGTAATAGTTTGCAAGCCCTGCCGCAATCGACAAGCGTCAGAGCCGGTGTAGTAGGATTCAATCTTTGTTCTGTATTGACGCTTTGCCTGTTTGATGGTTCGTCAGTGGGCATAGCGGGATTTCTATAAAGCATCCGGATTAGTGTCCTGCTCCTTGAAAGCGGCAGCTCTAGCCTTTAGCTCGGTGCAGATCTTGCTTGTAATCCATGGCTTCTGGTTGGGATATGTACGTACGGTCACTGTGGGGACGACGTCGTCAATGCACTTATTGATGAAGCCGGTGACTGAGGTGGTATATCCCTCACAAGATGGTGCAGACAACAATGACAAAACACCATGTCCCAGACAAAGTGGCAGACCTAAATCTGGAATAATGTGACAGGTTCAGCATGAGAGTGTCATCAGGGTCAGTAACATCAGAGTGTGTTATGATGAGTTTCTGTTATTGAGAAGTTCAGGATGTAAGAGAGAGCAGTCAACACTCAGCTGGAAGTTTGATTTACATTTATTTAAGTACTGGATCATATACAGTGGGGAAAAAAAGTATTTAGTCAGCCACCAATTGTGCAAGTTCTCCCACTTAAAAAGATGAGAGAGGCCTGTAATTTTCATCATAGGTACACGTCAACTATGACAGACAAAATGAGATTTTTTTTCTCCAGAAAATCACATGGTAGGATTTTTTATGAATTTATTTGCAAATTATGGTGGAAAATAAGTATTTGGTCAATAACAAAAGTTTCTCAATACTTTGTTATATACCCTTTGTTGGCAATGACACAGGTCAAACGTTTTCTGTAAGTCGTCACAGGGTTTTCACACACTGTTGGTGGTATTTTGGCCCATTCCTCCATGCAGATCTCCTCTAGAGCAGTGATGTTTTGGGGCTGTCGCTGGGCAACACAGACTTTCAACTCCCTCCAAAGATTTTCTATGGGGTTGAGATCTGGAGACTGGCTAGGCCACTCCAGGACCTTGAAATGCTTCTTACGAAGCCACTCCTTCGTTGCCCGGGCGGTGTGTTTGGGATCATTGTCATGCTGAAAGACCCAGCCATGTTTCATCTTCAATGCCCTTGCTGATGGAAGGAGGTTTTCACTCAAAATCTCACGATACATGGCCCCATTCATTCTTTCCTTTACACGGATCAGTCGTCCTGGTCCCTTTGCAGAAAAACAGCCCCAAAGCATGATGTTTCCACCCCCATGCTTCACAGTAGGTATGGTGTTCTTTGGATGCAACTCAGCATTCTTTGTCCTCCAAACACGACGAGTTTAGTTTTTACCAAAAAGTTATATTTTGGTTTCATCTGACCATATGACATTCTCCCAATCCTCTTCTGGATCATCCAAATGCACTCTAGCAAACTTCAGACGGGCCTGGACATGTACTGGCTTAAGCAGGGGGACACGTCTGGCACTGCAGGATTTGAGTCCCTGGCGGCGTAGTGTGTTACTGATGGTAGGCTTTGTTACTTTGGTCCCAGCTCTCTGCAGGTCATTCACTAGGCCCCCCCGTGTGGTTCTGGGATTTTTGCTCACCGTTCTTGTGATCTATTTGACCCCACGGGGTGAGATCTTGCGTGGAGCCCCAGATCGAGGGAGATTATCAGTGGTCTTGTATGTCTTCCATTTCCTAATAATTGCTCCCACAGTTGATTTCTTCAAACCAAGCTGCTTACCTATTGCAGATTCAGTCTTCCCAGCCTGGTGCAGGTCTACAATTTTGTTTCTGGTGTCCTTTGACAGCTCTTTGGTCTTGGCCATAGTGGAGTTTGGAGTGTGACTATTTGAGGTTGTGGACAGGTGTCTTTTATACTGATAACAAGTTCAAACAGGTGCCATTAATACAGGTAACGAGTGGAGGACAGAGGAGCCTCTTAAAGAAGAAGTTGCTTGTTTGTAGGTGACCAAATACTTATTTTCCACTATAATTTGCAAATAAATTCATTAAAAATCCTACAATGTGATTTTCTGGAGAAAAAAATTCTCAATTTGTCTGTCATAGTTGACGTGTACCTATGATGAAAATTACAGGCCTCTCTCATCTTTTTAAGTGGGAGAACTTGCACAATTGGTGGCTGACTAAATACTTTTTCCCCCCACTATAACTAGACGAACGTTCTTATCATATGACTGACTTCCTTACCAAATCTTTCAGCTTATATAATGCCCTTCCAATCTACTTTTATCATACACAGTTGCTAACCATTACTGATTGTCACTCCTCCACCACCATATCATGTGCCTCCTTGGTGTCGTGTGGCACCCTAGCCAGGCCATTCCATCACGTACCCATCCTAAGATTAGCACCAGTGGCCCCCAATCTATCTTGGCACACTGACCTTCTATTACTCACTTGTGATACCCCTAACACATGGTGTGTCCTTGTCCTTTGTCACTCATGCAGCTTAGGAGTTTACACACATTAATTAATCTTGTATCACAAATCATCATAACAGAGTGGCACAGACTGGAGGTGGGAATCACAGGCTGCACCAGTATTCCAGAAATGGCTGGCCTCCTGGGCTTTTCACACACGACAGTGTCTAGGGTTTACCGAGAATGGTGCGGCAAACAAAAAACATCCAGTCAGCTGCAGTCCTGTGGGTGAAAACAGCTCGTTGATGAGAGAGGTCGAAGGAGAATGGCAAGAATCGTGCAAGCAGGCGGGCCACAAACAGACAAATAACGGCGCAGTACAACAGTGGTGTGCAGAACTGCATCTTGGAAAGCACAACTAGTCGGTCCTTGTCACGGATGACCTATTGCTGCAGACGACCACAGCGGGTTCCACTCCTATCAGCTAAAAACATGAAGCGGCTCCAATGGGTACGCGATCACCAACACTGGACAATTGAGTGGAAAAACATTGCCTGCTCTGATGAATCCCGGTTCCTGTTGCATCATGGTGATGGCAGAGTCAAGATTTGGCATAAGCATCATGAGTCCATGGCCCCATCCTGCCTGGTGTCAATGGTACAGGATGGTGGCAGTGGTGTAAAGGTGTAGGGAATGTTTTCCTGGCACATGTTAGGTCCCGTGATAAAGAAAATGAGCAACGTTTGAACGCCACACCTTGTAGAAACCATGCCCGAAGAATTCAGGCTGTTCTGGAGGCAAAGGGGTCCGACCCTGTACTAGATCGGTGCACCTAATAAACTGGACACTGAATGTATATTTCCACACTATGAGGTTGGAATAATTCTGTGAAATCATAAAAATTATGATTATGCCCATTTAGTGTAAGAGCTGTTTGAAAAGACCGCCTGAAAAGACCGTCTGAAATGTTTTGGTGGGATGGAGTCTTGGCCTGCCTGGCGACATCACCAGGCGGTATAAGTTAATAAACCAATAACAAAGACAGTTTCAAACCTCTCTGCCAATAACAGCTAATTTTCAGGTTACATATCTCTCCCATTACGCTCGTGCAATCAGGCCCCTCACTCAGACCTGACAGTCCTATCAAAATTCATGCTTGAGAAATTGCCCTTTGCTAAGAAGCTATTTTTGTTTCTTTTTGACCATTTTTAATGGAAACCAATCACAGTAAGGTACTTTAATTGTTACCCAGAAATGATTTGATATTGAGATAAAAACGGCTGCATTGGACCTTTACGACATGGCTGGCAGGGTGTGAGCAGTCAGATATCCTATCTCTGGATGACCCACTTGATGACCCACTCTGCACTGGGATTCAGCTCCAACAGGTCTTTCATATAGGTCTCCTCATCCAGACAGCGCTCCTCTGTTCAGGAACAACACACAGCAAAGAACTAATCAGGTACTGTGACATATTGGGAAGGTGATGCTCTGCTGGGATTTGAACCATGTCCTTAAAACAAATGAAATACTTTGAATTTACAGCAGAATATGGTCTGAATCAAGTATACTGTAGGATGTTGACATTTCTCCATTTTTGACAGATAATACTATGTAATAGAAACATTGTTCTTGAGAAAAATATAAATGCCACAGAATACACTGAGTGTACAAAACATTAGGGACGACTTCCTAATATTGAGTTGCACCCCCTTTTGCACTCAGAACAGCCTCAACTCGTCGGGGCATGGACTCTACAAGGTGTTAATCGTTCCACAGGGATGCTGGCCCATGTTGACTCCAATGCTTCCCACAGTTCTGTCAAATTGGCTGGATGTCCTTTGGATGGTGGACCATTCTTGATACACAAGGGAAACTGTTGAGCGTGAAAAATCCAGCAGCGTTGCAGTTCTTGACACAAACCTGTGTGCCTGGCACCTACTACCATACCCCATTCAAAGGCACTTAAATATTTTGTCTTGCCCATTCACCCTCTGAATGGCACACATACCCAATCCATGTCTCAATTGTCTCAAGGCTTAAACATCCTTCTTTACCCTGTCTCCTCCCCATTCATCTACACTGATTGAAGTGGATTTAACAAGTGACATCAATAAGGGATCCTAGCTTTCACCTGGTCAGTCTGTACACTCAGCGTATATGAGATGGTTTGTGTGTTGAATGACTTTGCACACTTACTGATATTGCCTCCTATTTCATATAGGCACAGATCTTCTCTCTTCACAGACACAGAGCTAGAACACACAGACAACATAGTGAGGGATAAACAAAAACCCATGTTACAAATATAGTGACATTCCAATTTGAGTGACATTTGAGTTTTATGTAACAGATGTGGGGAAATCTGAGCCATGCCATGCAGTGTCACTCAGCTGAGTTGGAGCAGAAATCACAATTTCCATAGGATGCTCAGTTATACCACACACATTGTGTAAATGTCTCTGTACTGTAATTTAACTGCACTCAGAATGCAAGCCTTTAGTGTATAACGGGGGTGACAGTAGTTCCCCAGGGAGGATGGGGGACAGAAGAGGGAGAGGGAGGGGTGTTGGTCTCACCTCTTCTGGCTGAGGAAGCGGCTGAGGACATCAGACGCCTGCAGCTCTTCAGTCAACTGGACAGCCATGGAGACCTTAGAGAACTGAGGGGCCTGGACCCTGATGAAGCCCTGAGAACTACTGTCCGCCTAGGGATAGACAACAGACATGTCTCATCTAACCATCATAATAGTGTACACACTATAGTGTCGCTACTGTATTCCATACTACACCAATAAAAATTGTACAGAAGCTATATTATTATACAACATATCAAGCATTTCTCGAAAACTGCACTTCAATAACAATATTCTTTGGAGGTATTCAAAATCTATGTTATATTATTCAATTTCGTCATAAATCCATATTACCCATTATGCAGTTCCTTCATTATGAAGTAATTTTTTCAAACGTTAAAAACATAGTTGCAGTTCTACATATATCCACTAGGTGTCAGGGGGAGCCATTCCCTTTTCCCTCAGTTGAACCAGGAAGCCCAGAAGGCATTTGAGTTGGGTCATTCACATATTCTCCTCTTGATTCACTCAGGAGCATGGGTGTTTCCTCAGCCATAACTGCTTTTCAGTTACCATACACAGGTGCTAGACAGACGTCCTCCTTTGTCTGCTGCTGCTCTCACCTCTGAGGGGGGTTTCTCCTGTTTTTCAGGTTTCTCTCGGTCATAGGCAATCTTCTTTAAGAGTTTCCTCATGGCATGGTCTTTGCTAATTTTCTTCTGGTTCGCCGTGTTTTGTTTCCTGACTTGGTTCATTATGAATTTAGGAATCTGAAGTAGAAAAACTATAATAACATTACAAATATGGTACCAAAGTGCAATTTCAACTACAGTAGGCCTATAAAGTATCTATGTGAAAAAGATAGATTAGAGTGTACCGTCCAGAGCAGGTTTTGGTATCGGATGAGCAGTCTGACGATGATGGCGGTCTCTGTGGCCATGGAGAATTCCTGCTGCTTACTGATCTTGTTGCGGAAGCCTTTAAACATGAAGATGTTTGGAGCCATCACCATGGCAATGTTGTTCAAGGTCATCTTGTTCTGCTCTTTGTGGTCTATGATCCTCTGAAAGAACTCCATCAGCGCCTGAAACCACCATAAGATTCATTACAATGTGTCCAACAGAAAACATGAGACTATACTGTATTGGCTAGAGAACTAACACAGAGAAAGCAGTTATATCTACCTTCAGGGCATCACGGCTGGACTCTGGAAGTAGCAGAACCAGCAAGTTGAGAGCCTGCAGCTGTTGCTTCTTAGTGGGTAGTTCTGTAAGGCAAGCAAAAGAATCACAACCACAATGGATTGTTTACTAACCCATAAGTCAACATGAGACAAATCAAGAATAGAATCAAGCTACATTTCTGAATGAGTATACCACAGGAGGTTGGTGGCAGCTTAATTGGGGAGAACGGGCTCGTGCTAATGACTGGAACGGAATCAGTGGAATGGTATCAAATACATCCAACATGCAGGTGTTTGATGCCATTCTATTTGCGCCGTTCCGGCCATTATTATGACCCTCAGCAGCCTCCTTTGGAGTATACATACAGTGCACCATTGTGAGAGAAAGTGTGTAGCATGAGGAAAGTCTGATGCATAATGTCGTGCAGTATATAATGGGACTGACTGAGCACTGCCATGAAAGCACTGAGGTACTCCACAGTGAGCAGCGGGTGGGGAAGCTCCCTGATGAAGAGCTTGAGCAGGCTGGCTGCATCGTGCTGCTTCAGACTCTCCCAGGAGAACAGGCCCTCATAGAACTTCCCCTCCAGCTCCACATGCACCGCCTGCCAGCAGGACACATATGTTAATATACACACATACACACATTGTAGGCTTCATCACATAGGCCTACAGTATAACACTCATCATACATTCCACATATTCTGTCACCACACTACTAGCCCTTCCATTAGCTAAATGTTAATTTCCCTATAGCTACATAATGTTGTTGTTACAGCATGCAAATCCTTGCCTAGACACTGTATAGGCATCGGATAAACCATGAGTACATCTATTAAAAATGATGAACAATGACCTTGACTCTTGTGGCTGCTCCGGGTATCCGTAGAAGCCCCTCTGTGTCCAGACCCTCCTCCTCTATGTGAGAGATTAGCTGGAAACAATAGAACACTATTATAAGCTTTTACCATCAAATCAACAGCAGATATGAGAATACCATTCACCACTACAGCAAACTGCAGAGATTTCTACTGCAGACCACAAATTTAGACATACTGTATGATTAAAGTGAACCAGGATCCCTGACTGTGTTAATGAGAGGTTGTGCTGCTCACCCTCTGCAGTATGATTGGCACCTTGGTCCCTGCCTGTCTCCTCTGGTCCTGCTCCAATAGGGTGGCCAGAGGAACTCCAAACAGGCCAGACTCTAGAACACAAACAACATAATTTCATCAGAGCTTCCTGAGACTAAGGGGGCTTTCACACCAAATTGGTTTGGAGCGTTTTTTCCAAAGTCTGGCGTGTTTTCGCCCTTAGTTCGGTTCGTTTGGACTGGTGTGAACACTATCTGCACTCGGGAGCGCACTAAACAATGCACCAATGCTCAAAAAGGGTGGTGTCGGTCCGATTCAATTCGTACCATGGTGCAGGTGAGAACACAGTCCGGACCACAGAGAAAGAACCAGAGGTATTATTGGTTGCTTGACTGCGAGCATTTGATGAAATAACTTAATATATCTGAAACATTATGTGAGTAGCAGCGCATTTATGAGCACATCTGATGCAGATTAGGGGAGACGGGGGCTATAGGCTATTCACGTTGCAGTTAGAATGGCTATTGTGCTGTTTCCTCCCACATGTTGTTGGAATACCAAAGCAAAAGTACTAGGCCTATGAAGTTTGGGACATACAAGATATGCCTCTTGATAATCATAGATGGATTTAACGTGAGCATTTTTCTCCAATAAACAAATTACCTGCATGAACACATGGTTCTGTTTAGGCATTTTAGGTTGTTTTACATTTGACAACGTGAAACCAACAGGACCAAATGAAAAAAATACAATGTAACAAATAAATCGAACTCTGATTCGAACTATAGCTCAAAACTATGTGTTCAAACGCCCTAAGTCAATGGGATAGTTATAAGGGCACTTAGATATACTGTTATATAGTAGTGTTCCATGCTAACAGATGTAGCATACTGGCTCACCTTTGACCTTGGGTTTGACTGCTTTGTGGGCCTTGAGGTCGATGCCTGCCGTGTCAAACAGAGCGGTCATCTCTATCAGTACCAGACGGTGCACCTTCTTCATATCCTGAGGAGACAGGTCCCCCATCTTGGTCAGCCCTGTCTTGTCTCTGCTTAGCTTGAAGTTCTGTCACACAGAGAAGAGAGAAGCAGAGGTTAACATAGGCAAGTTAGCAAACCCGACATTTTGAGTATCTGTGGTTATACCTTAATGTCACCACCAGGTGTCCCTAGAGCCAGAGATTCAAATGCACAAGTAGGCTAGAACAGTTTGGACTGTGAAACGTATTAGACAAAAAGGTTTTGATTGATAATCTGTGCAAACGGCAGCATTCAATGTCATATAACACTTACACTAGTACACAAGCAGTAGTCCTACATATTACAGTGTAAATGATGTATAGGCCTATATAAAAAACATTTTTGTCAATCATTTCTGATGTAGATATAAGAAAGCTCAGGATTTTCATTTTTTTGTTGTTGACATATTTCTCTGGGCAAAAAAACTATTTTCATACTTCCATTCATTTTTTAAAACCAATACCGGGTTACGTTCAGACGATTCCTGTGACACATGTGAGGGTAGTAGAACAAACGGAGAACACCATCATGTTCCTGAGAGTTCATTCGTTTGTAGCCCAAACAGTTCAGACGGTACAGACAGAAGTTGGCACATCGGCGGTACCGACTTCAGATGAGTCCTGTGGGGCTTGTGGGAGTCATAGAGCAAAACGGAGAACACCATCGTGTTCGTGAGAGTCTCGTCTTTCCATACAGTGGTCATACTAGTTTGGACGCTACAGACATTTTCGTAAGAGGACCGATTTTCGGGATGTCTCCTGGTCTGACAAACAGTGCTGTAGCTCTGCCACTTTCTACCGCAGATGCGGAAGGGTTTACTTTTTCCACATTTTGTTGTGCTACAGCCTGAATTTAAAATGGATTAAATAGAGATTTTTTTTATCACTGGCCTACAGACAATATCCCATAATGTCAAAGTGGAATTATGATTTTAGAAATGTTTACAAATTAATACAAATTTTAAATAAATGTCTTGATTCAATACACATGCATCCCTTTTGTTATGGCAAGCCTAAATAAGTTCAGGAGTAAAATTTCACTTAACAAGTCACATAATACGTTAAATATACTTACTCTGTGTGCAATAATAGTGTTTAACATGGTTTTTTAATGACTACTAGCAGTGAATTTCAAACACAGATCCAACCACAAAGACCAGGGAGGTTTTCCAATGCCTCGCAAAGAAGGGAACCTATTGGTAGATAAAGAAAACAGACATTGAATATTCCTTTGAGCATGGTGAAGTTATTAATTACACTTTGGCTGGTGTATCAATCCAAGTGTTATGTTTGGGGAAAATCCAAGTGTTATGTTTGGGGAAAATCCAATAAAACACATTAATGGGGTACCACTCTCCATATCTTCAAGCATAGTAGTGACTGCATCCTGTTATGGGTATGCTTGTAATCATTAAGGACTGGGGAGTTTCAGGATAAAAAAAGAAACGGAATGGAGCTAAGCACAGGCAAAATCCTAGAGGAAAACCTGGTTCAGTCTGCTTTCCACCAGACACTGGGAGATGAATTCATCTTTCAGCAGGACAATAACCTAAAACACAAGGCCAAATCTACACGAGTTGTTTACTAAGAATGTTCCTGAGTGGCCGAGTTTTTACTTAAATCTACTTAAAGATCTATGGCAAGACCTGAAAGTGGTTGTCTAGCAATGATCAACAACCAATTTGACAGAGCTGGAAGAGTTCTGAAAATAATAATGGGCAAATGTTGCACAATCCAGGTGAGGAAAGCTCTTAGAGACTTACCCAGAAAGACCCAGCTGTAATCACTGCCAAAGGTGTTTCTACAAAGTATTGACTCAGGGGTGTGAATCCTTTTGTAAATAAGATATTTATGTATTTCATTTTCAATAAATGTCAAAAAATGTATACAAACTTGTTTTCACTTTGTGATTATTGGGTGTTGTTTGTAGATGGTTGAGAAAAAATCTATTTAATCAATTTTGAATTCAGGCTGTAATACAACAAAATGTGAAATAAGTGAAGGGGTATGAATACTTTCTCATGGCACTGTAGGCAAATGCGGTGATTGAGACGCAGCCCATACAAAACAACAGATATCTCTAGCTTAAACAGACAGATTTCAATGGGAATTGTTTTATTATGTTAATTATCCTGAACAAAAACATAAACGCAACATGCAACAATTTCTAAGATTTTACTGAGTTACAGTTCATATGAGGAAATCAGTAAATTGAAATTAATGAATTAGGCCGTAATCTATGGATTTCACATGAGTCGGAATACAGATATGCATCTGTTGGTCACAGATACCTTCAAAAAAATGGGCCACATAATGGGCCTCAAGAACTCGTCACAGTATTTTTGTACATTCAAATTGCCACTCGATAAAATGTAATTGTGTTCATTGTCCGTAGCTTATGCATGCCCATACCATAACCCCACTGCAACCATGGGGCTCTCTGTTCACAACGTTGACATCAACAAACCGCTCGCCCACACGATGCCACACACATGGTCTGCGGTTGTGAGGCCGGTTGGACGTACTGCCAAATTCTCCAAAATGACATTGGAGGCAGCTTATGGTAGAGAAATTAACATTAAATTATCTGGCAACAGCTCTGGTGGACATTCCTGCAGTCAGCACGCCAATTGCACGCTCCCTGGAAACTTGAGACATCTTTGGCATTGTGTTGTGTGACAAAGTGGCCTTTTATTGTCCCCAGCACAAGGTGCACCTGTGTAATGATCATGCTGTTTAATCAGCTTCTTGATATGCCACACCTGTCAGGTGGATGGATTATCTTGGCAAAAGAGAAATGTTCACTAACACGGATGTAAACAAATGTGTGCAAAAAAAATGCAAGAAATATGCTTTTTGTGCATATGAAACATTTCTGGGATCTTTTATTTCAACTCATGAAATATGGGACCAACACTTTACATGTTGCATTTATATTTTTGTTCAGTATAGATTGACGCACGGGTGGCTAAGTAAACACAGTTCCTGCTGCTGACAAAAAACATATAAATATTTGAAATCCTTTGTCCCCAACCAGGCTATGGGAGCCCGCAATGTTGACGAGTGACACTTCCCGTTTTGATATTGTCGTGGAAATTCACCACCATGTTGTGGAAATTTCCACCAGGGACACTCGAAGTCAATCTTAAATGAATCATCCTTTATTATCAGCGAGCTGGAGAGGTTCCAACCAACTCAATGCACCATAGTACACATGTCAATCAGGAGCTCTGCTGGGGCAGTCCCAGCAGTTGTCTTATATACGGCTATATACAGACAAGTTATATTTGCATGATTTTGCATAATTAATTCATCATTAGCATTTTGTTTCATTCATGTGACCGACCAATACTGGTTCATAAGATGTGACAGACCAATACCTCACGAGGCTTCTTCTCTCTAAGCTGAGACCTTGAAACTGAGATATCTTTCGTTCTCAAAACAAAGGTCTGGGCCTACTGCCAAATTGCAGCTACTGATAGTGAGGATTCGTTCAGTCAGTCACTTGCATGAGCACAGAAAACAATTATTAGAAAAGCACATGAATAGAACACAGAAATTAGTTTTTAGACAAGCACAAACATTAAAAACGTCCATCACAACATGTAAACTTTGCTCCAGCTGAGAGGCTCAGTCAATCTGTGTGGTGGTGTTAATGTTTACTCACAGGTAGCTTATCGTCTGTGTCTGTCAGAGCCTCACTGCTGGCCTTTGAGCCCTCCTTATAGCCGAGGGCCTGATCAGAGAAGGACAGCTCTAGGTTGATGTCTGTCTCAGGTTCAGACACACTCTGCTCAGCAGGGCCAGCCTCATTCCCCTGCCCCACCACCTGATCTGTACACACACACACACACACATCAGTGTGAATCTGAGCCATGGATATGCCAAACATTGTCAATAAGCAAGATTGAATTCACTATTGATAAGACTTAAAAAAGAGAGTGAATAATTCTAATCAAATTCTAATCAAAATTAAACGACTTGTTTTAATATCGGCCATTACAGGCACCATAATTGCTCCCCGTGGGCATATACAGTTGAAGTCGGAAGTTTACATACACTTAGGTTTGAGTCATTAAAACTAGTTATTCAGCCACTCCACAAATGTATTGTTAACAAACTATAGTTTTGGCAAGTCGGTTAGGACATCTACTTTGTGCATGACACAAGTAATTTTTCCAACAATTGTTTACAGACAGATTATTTCACTTATTATTCACTGTATCACAATTCCAGTGGGTCAGAAGTTTACATATACTAAGTTGACTGTGCCTTTAAACAGCTTGGAAAATTCCAGAAAATGATGTCATGGCTTTAGAAGCTTCTGATAGGCTAATTGACATAATTTGAGTCAATTGGAGGTGTACCTGTGGATGTATTTCAAGGCCTACCTTCAAACTCAGTGCCACTTTACTTGACATCATGGGAAAATCAAAAGAAATCAGCCAAGACCTCAGAAAAAAAATTGTAGACCTCCACAAGTCTGGTTCATCATTGGGAGCAATTTCCAAACGCCTGAAGGTACCACGTTCATCTGCGGCGGCAGGTAGCGTAGTGGGTAAGAGCGTTCTGCCAGTAACCGAAAGGTCGCTGGTTCTAATCCCTGAGCTGACTAGGTGAAAAATCTGTCGATGTGCCCTTAAGCAAGGCACTTAACTCTAATTGCTCATGTAAGTCGCTCTGGATAAGAGCGTCTGCTAAATGACTAAAATGTGAAAAATGTGTACAAACAATAGTACGCAAGTATAAACACCATGGGACCACGCAGCCGTCATACCACTCAGGAAGGAGACGTGTTCTGTCTCCTAGAGATGAACGTACTTTGGTGCAAAAAGTGCAAATCAATCCCAGAACAACAGGAAAGGACCTTGTGAAGATGCTGGAGGAAACAGGTACAAAAGTATCTATATCCACAGTAAAACGAGTCCTATATCAACATAACCTGAAAGGCCGCTCAGCAAGGAAGAAGAAACTGCTCCAAAACCGCCATAAAAAAGCCAGACTACGGTTTGCAACTGCACATGGGGACAAAGACCATACTTTTTGGATAAATGTCCTCTGGTCTGATGAAACAAAAATAGAACTGTTTGCCCATAATGACCATCGTTATGTTTGGAGGAAAAGGGGGGGCTTGCAAGCCGAAGAACACCATCCCAACCGTGAAGCACGGGGGTGGCAGCATCATGCTGTGGGGGTGCTTTGCTGCAGGAGGGACTGGTGCACTTCACAAAATAGATGGCATCATGAGGAAGGAAAATTATGTGGATATATTGAAGCAACATCTCAAGAAAAACGGAGTTTAAATGTATTTTGCTAAGGTGTATGTAAACTTCCGACTTCAACTGTAATATTAAGGTAGACTATGGAGGCTTTTGCGCAGATTCAAATTAATAACGAGAGCTGGCTAAAATTATGATAAAAAGGGGAAGAAGGATTACTGTTATACTATTCCAGGTATTCCTATGTGTGAGGCACATTCTCAAAAGAATCTGCCATTGATATGGCATTATAGGACTGAATAGTTTGGAGGAGCACGACTTTGGTAATTGGACGAGGGGTGCTCTTTGAAAATGGGGATGGATAGCCTACTTGAACAAGCAAAATGATGTATGCAGGTATGTGAATTGTGAATCATGAAAAAGCATGAGGGCAAAAACCTCCAAAATATTTCAAGGCACTAAGCTAATGGGGCGGCAGGTAGCCTAGTTAGACCGTTGGGCCAGTAACAGAAAGGTCGCTGGTTCGAATACCTGGAGCCAACAAGGTGAGAAATCTGTCTGTGTCCTTGAGCAAGGCATTTAACCTTATTTGCTCCAGGGGCACCAAACTACTATGGCTGATACTGTAAAACAACACAGTTCACTGCACCTATCCGGTATATGTGACAATAAAACAGGATAAAAATATGCACCTATACGAAACCAGCCTTGATTAAAGGGATACTTTAGGATTTTGGCAATGAGGCCCTTTATCTACTTCCCCAGAGTCAGATGAAATCATAGATGACTGGAAGTCTATGGGTAGACTTCCAGTCATTGCACTAACGCTAGTTAGCATTGGTTTGCGAAACTACCTATAAATTGTATCCATGAGTTCATCTGACTCTGGGGAAGTAGATAAAGGGCCTTATTGCCTCATAATCGAAATGGGGGGAACCATTTTTTTTGTTTCGAAAATACGAGATTCACCAGCACAAAAGGCACACCTCTCTTTCCATGGGCACTGTGCGTCACGGCTGGATAGGCTGCGCTGCCGCTCTCAAAATCGATGCCATTATCAACTGCATTACCGTTAAGACCTGCTTTTTGTGGTTCTTAAAACTTCCCTTTAGCGCTGCATGAAATGTTCACTTTTGCGATTGTTTTTAAGGATACACCTCAAATATTGTCACCCCTGCAACCTCAGCGCAAGCGAGCTGATGTTAGACAGGTAAATTGCCAAACCTAGCATAAGGGGTGGAAAATGCCTAGTGCGCCAGTTTTTCATGATGAAATTGACATTTGTGCCTCCTAGAACTTGTGGTACATACCATCTGTCATAATATTCATTTTTCTGTTTTCACTTCTCTCTGGTGACTTTGCTTCATCATCCTGCAACATAATACAGAACAAAAACAGGCTCTCATCAGAATGTAATATAGCTTATTTTGCACAATTAATGAATCAAACAAAATGATCTAACAGCTGATATTGTAGAAAGACTATATGTTTCTATTACCAATTGTGAACAGACTAAAGACAAGACTCTCATTAGGATAAGATATCCAGTTACCTATTACCTCACATTCTGGTGTTCATTAACAGACAATCTCCATGTGATTAGTAATGATGTTAACTGACTGTGGTAAACAAGTCAATGGGTTATTTCTGCAGTGAAGCATCTCAGGCATGACTGAGTTCTAAAACCAGGTTTGTGCGTGTTAACGGGACCTGTGGTAGGCTGACCTTCGACTCCGGTGTGCCCGGGAGTTTGAAGATGTCTCTGACGTCAGGTACGTGGTGCTGCTTGTTCCTCTTCCTGATGGTTTCAAAACGTTTCTCTACGGCGGCGGCCTGTGTGCGCGTTAGCGTGAACAACAGCCCCATCATGTCCTCGGGGTCCGACGCCGACTCGTCAAACAGAGTGGCCAGCCCTGCCTCCTTCAGCCATGCCTCCTCCTGTTCCCCCTCTACAGACAGACAGTAGTTGAGTTAGGTTGAGTCTTATGAGTTGATGATACACCAAAAGAGCTGTAGTATGTTAATGGGAAAGTGTGTAAGTCTAAACAATGAATAATAAAGAAACAAACAAGTAAGTCATAGATTATTACTGTGTAATTACTAATGTCAAAACGGCCAGATCATCTCCTTTCCAAGACCCCAACTTTCTTTTGGTTTTCCTATTGGAATAAGGTCACGCCAATCATCATAATTTTATTAGCCTCAGGCAGTCTGTAGTTTCCATTCTGATGACCAACCTGCTTATTCTCCTGCTTATTCTACCTCCTTAGAAGAAATTGCTTTTCTTTCTGATGTTTATTGTGTGTACAGCTAAATAACCACAATTAGTATCAGAGAGAGTGGTGTTGTATGTGTGTGTGGATCTTCATTAAACCTTGAACTGGAACTACTGCTTCCTCGTGTTCTGAACGGACACCCTGTGGTGGTTGCTACCGGCCTAAAATCCAGCACCTACGTTTTGTATCCCTTTTTATTGGTCCCTCGAATTCATAAACAACCCATATTTTTCAACTATTATAATTAGGCAATTTCTCTCTACCGAGGTGTGGGAATAGAAACAAACAAGGACATGAAACAGGGAAGGCTGTCTCACTCCTTAGCCCCTTAACCCAGGGGTTCCCAAACATTTTTGGCCCACAACCCCATTTTGATCAGAAAATTCTCGCAACCCATGTGAACCATGTGAAAGAAAATCTGTAATTAACAGCCAATGTTTACTTTTTTATTTGGGGCTATGGCAGTCAATTGAAAAGCATTCTAACAGTATTTCTGATTGTCTTCAACTCACCATCACATACTTTTAATGTGGGGCTATGACAGTCAATTGCAAATTAGTCTGACATAATGTCTCTTATCTCACGACCACTAATGAGATAGTTGTGCTTGATGCCTGTTGTGTCGGAGCTTGTCAAAGTCAGGGGGCGTGGTCGACAGTACGCACCTCATCTCTGCGGTCACATCCAACCTGGATCGACATTTGGTTTTAATGCAGACGAGAACACTGAATCCAGCTTCACACAGATATGAGCTGGCGAATGGTACCATGATTTTTAATGCTAAAAAGGGTTACAGCAGGGTATTCCCTTTGAGTCAGGAACCAAAACTCCTCCGTAGTGAACCGTGAATGTGTTGTCTGCAGCATTCGGTCACATGACAGCTCGATCAGCTGTTCGATTTCACTTAACGGCATGTCAACTGAGCCATTCAAACGGATTGGGAAGTAAGTCACAAAGTGCTTTTCCAAGCGTTGGAGGTGAGCAGTCATCACTCGTATGGGACACTTACTGATGCTGTTTTTTGTTAGAAACATGCACAGCCGAGGGAAGGGGGCATGATTCGCTTTTGAAAGGCTCTCTCCAATAATAATTATTTCCTCTGAATCCACTGATTCGGTCACTCATCTGTAGAATGTTTTTGTATTTCCCCTGCATGCTTGCGTTCAGTTCGTTCAGTTTCCCAAATACTGTATGTCTGTTACATAGGCAAGGAGTAATTTTATTTTCATTACACAGAAAGTCGACAGTCTCTATTTTTTGTAAAAACAAAATTTTACATCCATTGTGAATGACAACAGGTCCTCTCTCAATGAAAAAATCCCCCGACATATATAGCGAACAAAAGTCAAGGCATGGGCATCTCGGCCCTCACAGCTAACGTCCATTTGGCGAGCATAAACTGGGGAGTTTTTGAGTCGTTCAGGCAGTTTCCTCTTGATTGCTAGCAATAGCATCAATTCTTATTTTACCAGTGTTATCTGACTAAGGTGTTGATGTGAGTTTCTCTGCCTTTGCCTCCCCACACATTGTTTTCACCGTATCAATTGCGTGAGGTAATATCAATGTCTCTGCAATAGTGTGTGGTTTCATAGCGTAGCGGGCCAAGCCATTCACCATGGGAATGAATCAAGTGCAACGGTCAAGTGCGGCCTTTTCCCTTGATCTAAGGGAGCTCTCTGGTTGAATTTTATCATTTTAATTTCGATTTTTAAGGTTAACCACGTTACAATGATTTTGAGATAAAGAAGATATTATAATATATATATACACGTATTGTTGTTGTATTTTTTCAGGATTTTGTGAATTCTCCCGTGACCCAATTTTCATATCAGGTGACCCCCAGTTTGGGAACCGCTGCCTTAACCGGTCATACACCAACATTCTTGATATAGAAAAGAACAGAAGGAAGTTCCTACATTTAGTGTTCAGACAAAACAATGCATTTCGACTTTATAAACAAACTTCTGCAGTGCTTTTTATAGGCATTTCCTGATCCTGTAGGATCAAGCCAGGCTATTGTATTTTGTGGATTAAAGAAATGAGTTATCATTATGTGGTGGTATTGCAAAACAATGTGCTGGACAACAGACCAGTATGTACTGTATGTGCTCTACTAAAATAATCCTTTCAGATAGCGATCTAGGTAAGCAACAAGTCATATACTGTACCATAGAAATATAATGAATTCATTCTATTTCTAATGTGCATAGTACATACTCACTGGCGGACTTACCATTAGGCAGAAGAGGCAATTGCCTCAGGCCTCACGTCAAGTGGCCTCGTGAGCTGGGCATAATGAACAAATATTTTGTATTTATTTCTCAGCTCGAGAACCCCCTGCTCAGCTCATCACTCTCATTCGGTCTTGTTTCAGCAGGTTGGTCTAAAATGTTACACTGAAGTAGCAGGACATATGGTCCTTCCACTAGAACAACCTCATCTCATCTCTACTTCAGTTGACACTCCTGCTATAGTGTAGAGCTCCATACCATCAGGCACCTTCAGCTGCACCTCCTCCTGTGGCTCTGCATCCTCCTTCACCTCTCCGCTAAGGCTGATGTTCTCCACCTCTGTCCAGTATTCGTCCATGAACAGCTCGTCCAGCGAGTCCTGGGAGTTAAAGTGGTGGTATTGGGGCTTTCCTGAGGCATTTTTGGGCTGGCTCTGGACACTGTAGTGGCCTGTCCTGTGACTGGGGAAGAAAGAGGGACAAAGTATGAGGACTAGCTCAGTGTGAATTTTATTAGGGTTCAAGTGAGTTCTAAATACTACAAGCCATACCATACAACAATGTGTTGAATTTCCAATCTGAACTCTAATGAGAAAACCAACTGGTTGTACGTTAAATATTTTTGAATTGCAACTCTATGAATGCTGTGTTGTTACATATGGTTGTATTTTCCACATAGAAGTTGGTTTAGCATGAACGTGAAGGGTTAACTAATTTCAGTCATTCAATGCAGAACTGCTTTCCTCTGACCGAGTCACACTAGAAGCACGTAGTTCTGTGCACCCCTGCTGTTAGCTGCTGTTAGCTGGCCCAGGACCAGACCCTTTATTAACTTACTACAGAATGCCAAGTCAGTAGTTTAAAGCTGAAATCCTTAATGGTGAAACAGCCACGTCCGTTTGCGATATTAAAACAACAAAGTTACTGCAAACAAACACCGTTTTTTAAAAATAGCACAAGCAACAAAACAAAATAGCACAAGCAACAAAACAGCAGCATACTGTATGTAGTTTCGTTTGTTTATTTAGTTTTTTAAATAACAACAGCCGTGGGGCAGACAGTGGCGCTGTTTCGCACTACTGCGGATTCCATCTTTAAGGATACTGCATGATTGTTTGTGTGGGCTTGGTGAAGGCTTAGCTTGCTCCAGGACCCTAGATGCCGAGAGTGAGTAAACCATAAAAATAGAATGAACTTCATTCTATTTCTATGGAGTAAACTCAGAGGAAGAGGCAGTGTTTCCCCTATATTTATTTAGCGGTGGTGGGCCAAAATATATGATTTTAAAAAATGCATATAGGGGAAATGTTTTCACTGTAAAATTAAATGACTAAAAACAGATAAAGTATGTAGAAAAGATAATGGAGCTATATATTTAAAAAAATAAGATCATCTTTGAAAACTAACAATCATTAATACTAAAACCATTCCTCTTAACTCCCAGGCGTTTTCCAAATGACCACACGATGAACGCTGGTTTTGTTAGAATGATTGAGTCACTCATATAGCATAAGAACACCACATAAACCATGGCAAAATGTGTAGAATTGCAGGAAATTAGCTTTACTCTCAGCCCATGGTAAAATGTGTATAATTGTAGGCAACTAGTTTTAAAACTGAAAATGTTTTGGCTCTGCGGCCTAGAGGACGGTCTCTAAAATGTTTGGTCGGAGACCGCGCCATTGGCCACGCCCACTAGCACCCCCTCTCATGCTTACTTTGCCACAGCTGCTGAAAAAATCCTTGGGGAAACACTGAAGAGGCCTCCTGATGGGCATCAGAGAGCAGCTAACCTCCCCTCCCCTTATAATCTCTGGTGGTTGCACTTAAAGGGCCGTCTAGAGTGGCAAAAACATTTTTTATCAAAGCAATTGCTTTGCAGATTTCCCTTTACACATGTAAGAATAATCTCTACTAATCTCCAACACCAGGGAACAACAGGAAATGTAAAGAGAGTGCTGCTGTGTCAATGGAAAAACTATAAAACCACAAACAGCGGCAATAACTCTATGATGATAACCCATGTTGATTCTGTGCACTTACTCATGTTTACATTGCTGGAGGTATTTTAAGATAGGTGGTCCCTCAGTCAATATTATATCTCACTCACAATAAACTCAGATGCTCACCTGATTCGATGGAAATAATCATAACACAGGCTGTTCATTGGCACTTGACTTGAACCCGCTAACCCTGCTGTTTTGAACATTAGAAACTCCAATTGGAGTTAACAGCTAACATAATACTGGTTTTGATTTGGTATAATAACCTGACCCACCACATTATGTAAAGAATTCCAAAAGACTTGATCAATTATTAATTAATGCCTCATCCACCTGTAGTCACACCAAGGCTCCTCCACCTGTTTAAGATGATTTAAAAGTTAAATAAAAGTTCACCTTTTGGAAACAAAGAATCGGGTTTTAGAATGACCTGTCGGATATTCCAGGACTGAGGGGCATAGTAACTGAAAGCAGTCTTCCCTAACTCAGAGGAGACCCGTGGAACCTCTAGTACCAACCTGTCTTGAGAGTCTTATAGTTACTAGATTTCCAATTTAGAAGTGAGGTAAGGTTGTATGGGAGTTTCTGGAGAAGTGCTTTATATGCGAATAATAGTCAGTGTTGGGACCTTCTGGTAGTCAGAGACTCCCAGCCAACTAACTATTTAAGAGACAATGATGCGTACGGAAATTATCTCTAGTGATAAAACGCAAGGCTGAGTGGTAGACTGAATCTGGAGGCTTTAACACAGAGGCTGCCACGTGCATGTAATGTAGATTGAGTCGCCATAGTCAATTACTGGGAGGAGTGGTTTGAACAATCTTTCTCCTATATTCAAAACTGAGACAGAATTTATTTCTATACAGGAAACCAATCTTTACTCGCAACTTTTTAGTCAGTTTATCAATATGTGTTTTAAAGGACAGCTTATCATCAATCCAAATACCTAGATACTTATAATGGGGGACTAGCTCAATTTGGGCTCCTCTCAAGGTACAGATACAGAGGTCTTTAGGATACATTTTACGAGACCTGGAGAAAAACATAAACTTGTATCAACATTTAGCACTAATTTAAGATCGGTGAGCGATTCTTGAACTGAATCAAAGCCAAGCTGAAGGTTGTGAATGGCCTGCTGCACTGAGGGGGCACGGGAATCAATAACTGTATCATCCGTAGAGAACTGTAAGCCCCAGTTATTATTATTCAGGAAGAGACCAACATTATTAATGTAAATAGTGGACAGTAAAGGACCTAGTATTGAGCCTTGTGGGACTCCTTTGGTTATGTTCAAGGTCATAAACAGTCAAAATCATGTTTTTTATGAAATGTTATGATATTTGGATGAAACCAAATCAAAACATGATGACCAAAGTATGAAAAATGACTGTTGCGTCTACATTGATAAAGTTTGATCATAACGTTATTGGTCCCCTCCCCCATGTCAAACACTTGGATTAATTATTAAGGGGATAGTGTGACATCACCCTAACTCTCATTTTAATACACCAATGGTACCATGATATTCTCTTGCCTAATTTAATTAAGCGTGTTTACGGAGGGGCGTGGTTTATATAGCTAGATGGCTACTCTACTGGTGCCAACATTTGACTGTAGTGTGTCAGCAAATATAATTAAAAGTTTACCCTATTCATCTATGGCTAAGATACTTATATGTTTCCCATTTTCATCTGTGTCTGGTGTTAGCTAGTTACTGGTTGGCTAGGTCTTCATGAGGTGGAAGAAACACACACCTGGTTAGGCGAGGTGCTGGCTAGCGGAGTAGAACACTTGAAAAAGAAAAGGAGAGCCGCACACTCTAGGAGCTCAGATGAAATAATTGAATATCAACGTTTCGACAGCCAAGCTGTCTTCATCAGGGTATAAAGCTAGGTCTTCAGCCAGCATGGAACAAAAGTGGGGGAAGGGTTGTTCAAAACTCTAACGCAGTTGTCAAGCCAACACATCCGTCAGTGCTGCTGTGAACCGCATCACAAGAGACATGCCAAATGGGGGATGTATAAAAACCCAGAATTGATGCAATTTCAATGTTTGTGTTGCTTTGTGTATTACCAAATTTGCTTGAAAGGATTTTACTGCAACACTGCATCCAAGTTTTTGACATAGGCGTTTCAAAGAGTAGTCAGTCAAGTCGAGCTAATGAATATAAGAGTGACGCAGCGGTCTAAAGGCACTGCATCTCAGTGCTTGAGGCATCACTACAGACCCCCTGGTTCGATTCCAGGCTGTATCACAACCGGCCGTGATTGGTAGTCCCATAGGGCGGTGCACAATTGGCCCAGCGTCGTCCGGGTTTGGCCGGTGTAGGCCGTCATTGTAAATAAGAATTTGTTCTTAACTGACTTGCCTAGTTAAATAAAGAGTAAATAAAAATAATAAGCTCCCCGGCCACTCAGCCAGTCTTTTCAGACTTCCTGGTAGTTAGCCATGAGAGAGAAATTATTATTTTTGCATTTCTATCCCCAGAAAATCTTATGGGAGATATTTTAGTCACTCAAAATGCTATTTTACATGGTAATCAGAATCACTATTCAGGACCTTTAAGAGAACGCCATCAGCAGTTTACTGTACATTGACTTCTGTCGTGCAGGAGTGCATGATCAACTGTATTGAATGCTTTCGACAGTGCTGTTTCCTGTCTAGTGTGTTAACTATGTAATTTATGAATAACTATGACATTGATGTCCTGGCCTAAAGCCTGACTGGTGAGCATTCAGAATACATTTTCTATCTAAAAAGGACTGCAGCTGAGAATGTATCATGAGTTCTAATATTTCCTCTTGACATGAACGTTTTGAAATTTGGCGATAATTATTAAGATCACAGTGTGGAGTGAGAAAACAAGGGCCGCCTTCCACACCTTAGGAATAATATCCAAGAGAATGGATAGATAAAAAATGTGTCAAAGGCTCCACAATCAGAGATGCAGCAAGCCGTAGAAGACACGGGTCAAGCATGTCTGCCCCAGAGGATTTTTTTACATCAATAACTAAGAGAGCATCCAGAACTACCCTAGTCGTGACCTGACGAATAGAGAACAGTGGGTTACCATTTACAGTAGCAGGCAAGTCTGTGATTAAACAGGGGTGCATCAGAGATGAGCTTGTATCATGAACAGTCTTTTCAGAGTTGTCCTTGTTGCTGCCATTTCCCCTTTCAAACAAATGGCCTGCTGCAATAAAATGTTGGTTAAACACGTCAGTTATTTCAGTTTTGTCTGTTATAGTATTGGAGTTAAATAGAACCTCATTGGGCAGAAAGGTGTGGCTGCTTCTTTTTAGCAATTTAATAGCCTTCCTAAACCTTCCTAAACTAAAATTGCCACGAGAATCAAGAATGGAATTAATGAAATAGTTTGATTTAGCCCTTTTTATGGAAGCCGTACATTTGTTTCTAAGTTGTCTGAAGGTGAGCCAGTTAGCAGAGCTACCAGTGTGTTTGGTTTCAGACCAAGCTTTCTTTCTTAGCTGAATTAACTCAGCAAGTTCAGGCGTTGACCATGGGTTGGCTCTATCTTTAATTATTAATCTCTTCATAGGAGCATGTTTATCAGATACAGAGATAAACATACTAGAGAATTGTTAAAGGGCAAGTTCCACGTCCGGAGTGTAATTAACACTAAGTAAGCCTGAATGGTAAAGGTCATGTAAGAACCCTTGCTCATGGAAGTGTTTAAAGTTTATTTTAGTGACAAGGCGTGGTTTAGTTCTAGGCAACTTTGTGTTTCTGACATAGACTAGACTATGGGACAGAGATCACTGAGGTCCATAGCAAAATACCACTAGTTGACTATTTATGAGGGTTATTTGTAAGTATGAGATCAATCAGAGTTGATTTAGCAGGATTTTTTATATTCAAATGAGTGGGCTCTGAAATCAGTTGGACTAAGTTCAGATCAATACATGCTGATTTAAGACAATCAGACGAGGGAGTAAGCCAATCGAGATTCAGATCCCCCAATATCACTATTTCAGAGGCTATGTATGGGGCTAGTAGCTCAGCGACAGTTTTGATTGCTCCCGCTGTGGCAGAGGGAGGGCCATGGATCCCTGCAACATAGACATTAACATTCTGGCAAATAACAACATTTATAACTACATGTACATAGTAGCTCAAATTTGCTTCGGAAGCGAGACATTGAGAGATTGGGTCGCCTTAATGTTGTTTTTCCCTTAATTGCTACACCGCCACCCTTCTTTGGCCTATCACATCTGTAAACATTATAATGTGCAATGGATCAACAGAGCTTTTAACCATGTTTCAGAGCACACTAAAATGTTGCGATTTGTATCCCGGACCCAAATGTCCAACATGTCCATCTTGGAGATAATACTTTGCACATTCATGTGCATTAGCCCAAGCCCGAGCCTTGTTTTAAAGTCTGCCGGAGAGTGCACAGTCTAAGGAGGGGGAAGACTGGTGGAGCAAACAGTACTAATCAGGGAAAGTAGCTCAACACGATTTAGATTACTGATTTTTTGCACCCCTTGAATTGAGAGAATTTCTAGCTGATCATGCAAGGGACTGAGTAGTAATAACGGGAATTACCTGGGGGCTTGGGCTGTCAGCGACTGTGCTATGTTCAATGAGAGCCGTTGTGCTCCGTGGCCGTTTGGGTGTATTCTGTCTTCATTGAAACAATCCACTCACTTCCAAAACCGGTCGAAATTGTCAATGAAAGCCACTTTCACTGTGGCACAGTATGTTTTCAGCCAGTTGTGCATTTGGAGGAGTCTGTTGAAGTGGTTAAACCCACGGCCTATTGAGGGTAGCAGACCTGAGATAAGTAGCCGCCTGCCTAAATACTTTGCAGATCCTATCAGGTCCACATGTATTACCAGAGAGTTAGCCTCAGGTAGCTGCTTCTGGATTGTGGGAAGCATCACTAGAATGTTATGGATCTTCACTCCAGGAAAGCACAGGGTTCTGGTATTCTCTATAGAGCCCCACAGTGGAGGTGTCCTAATACCCATAAAACCTAGTGGTCAAACAGGGAAATGGTTCCAATCGTTTTTCCACCATTCATTTTTCCCATTGGGGATTTTAGAAACACTTACAATAAGGGCTGTGATTCGTGTAGGCTTACCCTGGCATGACGTTTTGATAACCATGTAAATCTCTCTCGGACAAGTTGACTTTTTTCAACATATTCGGCTCTATTTACTCTCAGATTCGAAAATGCTAATTGAATTTAAATTTGAATTGTCCATTTAAAAAATGAAGCCAATTTGTTAATTACTACATTTAGCTAACATTAGAGAGTTAATCCAGAGATTCTTACCTTTGCCTTGATTCAGCAGTCTCGTCCAGATCATCATGGCATTTGTAGTTCTTTATGATAGCCACATTAGCAACTAATTAGCATTTGTTAGATTAATTTGTATTTTAAGAATAATGACTAAAGGATTTCACCCCAAATACAGTATAAATGTGTAAACTGTGTTAGAATTATAATGTAGTGTCAACCCACTAACAGAGGGGGGCAGGACTAAACATTCCAGGGTGAAGGAGAAAGGTGGAAACTGTTTAAGAAAGCCTCCTAAAGGTGGGCGGAGCAAAGTGCCTTTGTGTGTCAAGGGGTATAAAACAGGAGTGTATGGGTTTTGGCGCCAGAGCTCTCCATGAATAAAAATACAGATCATTCTTGCTGGTTGTGGACCTTGAATCATTTATGATTCAAACCAGAGCCTTACAACCTCTGGTAATGATTCAAGCTTAGGTTGAATTAGAGATAGAAATTCTCGAAACAGCATTTCATTTTTTTGGGGGGGGGGTAAATACAGGCAAATATATTGATAAAAGTCACCTTGTCCTAGAGAGATTTACACGGTTATCAAAACGTCACGCCAGAGTAAGCCTATACGAAACACAGCCCTTATTGTACGTTTTTCACAAAATAAACTATGGGAAAATTGAATGGTGGAAAAACTATTGGAACCATTTCCCTGTTTGACCGCTAGGTTTTATGGGTATTTATGGTATTTATGGGTGTGAGTCATACTGTGGTAATCTATAGAAACATGTCTTAACAGCTACCCACAGGTGGCTGCACGTTACGGCGAGTGGCGCTGTTGTCATGAGGGGCGCTGCCCCTTAGAGGAGGGCTGTCGCATGGGGCGACAAGGGCCTCCGTTGTCTGTTGGGGTCTGTCTGGCTGCCAGCTGGAGGTGATTCAGATGGTTGTATATGGGTGGGACTGGTGTTATTGCATGGGTGTTTGAAGGTACAAACGCTACCTTCACTAACAGCTGTGTACATACCGCCACAAGCAAACATCAAGGCGGCACTCAGCGAACTGTATAAGAACATTAGCCAGCAAGAATCCTCTCACCCGGAAGCAGTCTTTTTTGTTGCGGGAGATTTTAACCAAGCAAGTTTAAAGCAAATTCTTCCAAAGCATCACCAACATGTATCCTGCCCCACGAGAGGGATAAACTTGCTCGACCATGTGTACACAAACATCTGTGACGTGTACAAAGCCATCCCCTGCCCCCACTTTGGCCAATCAGATCATGTACAGTGGGGGAAAAAAGTATTTAGTCAGCCACCAATTGTGCAAGTTCTCCCACTTAAAAAGATGAGAGAGGCCTGTAATTTTCATCATAGGTACACGTCAACTATGACAGACAAAATGAGGGAAAAAAATCCAGAAAATCACATTGTAGGATTTTTAATGAATGTATTTGCAAATTATGGTGGAAAATAGGTATTTGGTCAACAACAAAAGTTTCTCAATACTTTGTTATATACACTTTGTTGGCAATGACACAGGTCAAACGTTTTCTGTAAGTCTTCACAAGGTTTTCACACACTGTTGCTGGTATTTTGGCCCATTCCTCCATGCAGATCTCCTCTAGAGCAGTGATGTTTTGGGGCTGTCGCTGGGCAACACGGACTTTCAACTCCCTCCAAAGATTTTCTATGGGGTTGAGATCTGGAGACTGGCTAGGCCTCTCCAGGACCTTGAAATGCTTCTTACGAAGCCACTCCTTCGTTGCCCGGGCAGTGTGTTTGGGATCATTGTCATGCTGAAAGACCCAGCCACGTTTCATCTTCAATGCCCTTGCTGATGGAAGAAGGTTTTCACTCAAAATCTCACGATACATGGCCCCATTCATTCTTTCCTTTACACGGATCAGTCGTCCTGGTCCCTTTGCAGAAAAACAGCCCCAAAGCATGATGTGTCCACCCCCTATGCTTCACAGTAGGCATGGTGTTCTTTGGATGCAACTCAGCATTCTTTGTCCTCCAAACACGACGAGTTGAGTTTGTACCAAAAAGTTATATTTCGGTTTCATCTGACCATATGACATTCTCCCAATCCTCTTCTGGATCATCCAAATGCACTCTAGCAAACTTCAGACGGGCCTGGACATGTACTGGCTTAAGCAGGGGGACACGTCTGGCACTGCAGGATTTGAGTCCCTGGCGGCGTAGTGTGTTACTGATGGTAGGCTTTGTTACTTTGGTCCCAGCTCTCTGCAGGTCATTCACTAGGTCCCCCCGTGTGGTTCTGGGATTTTTGCTCACCGTTCTTGTGATCATTTTGACCCCACGGGGTGAGATCTTGCGTGGAGCCCCAGATCGAGGGTGATTATCAGTGGTCTTGTATGTCTTCCATTTCCTAATAATTGCTCCCACAGTTGATTTCTTCATCCCAAGCTGCTTACCTATTGCAGATTCAGTCTTCCCAGCCTGGTGCAGGTCTACAATTGTGTTTCTGGTGTCCTTTGACAGCTCTTTGGTCTTGGCCATAGTGGAGTTTGGAGTGTGACTGTTTGAGGTTGTGGACAGGTGTCTTTTATACTGATAACAAGTTCAAACAGGTGCCATTAATACAGGTAACAAGTCGAGGACAGAGGAGCCTCTTAAAGAAGAAGTTACAGGTCTGTGAGAGCCAGAAATCTTGCTTGTTTGTAGGTGACCAAATACTTATTTTCCACCATAATTTGCAAATAAATTCCTTAAAAATCCTACAATGTGATTTTCTGGATTTCTTTTTCTCAATTTGTCTGTCATAGTTGACGTGTACCTATGATGAAAATTACAGGCCTCTCTCATCTTTTTAAGTGAGAGAACTTGCACAATTGGTGGCTGACTAAATACTTTTTTTCCCCATTGTATCTCTGTTCCTACTCCCTGCCTACAAGCAGCAACTCAATGGGGAGCCACCAACACAGAGAATAGTGAGGTGCTGAACAGAGAGCAGACTCAATGCTGCAGGACTGTTTTGAGAATAATTATAGGAATATGTTCAAAGATTCATCCACCCAGGACTCTACAATATACAGTACACTGTCAGTCACAGGCTTCATAAGGAAATGTGTTGATAACAATTAGGACATACTGTACCCCAACCAAAGACCTTGGATAAACAGAGAAATCCGTACATTCCTGAGAGCCCGTACTATGGCATTTAATGTCAGCAGAACGAACCCTAAATACTTGGTGGCGTGCGACACGTACAAGGCAAGCAGGTACAAGCTCGGCTAAAAACTATTATGGATGCAAAAAGACAATACAAACTCAAACTTGAATCGATGTTCGACAACTCAGACTCACAACGCATGTGGCGAGGACTACATGCTATTACGGACTACAAAGGCAAATCCAGCTGTGTGCTGCCCACCAAAGCATCCCTCCCAGACGAGCTTAACACATTTTATGCTCGCTTCCAGGCAGATAATACCGAGCCATCCAGAAAGGCTCTCACTGCTCCGGACGACCAGGTGCTTTCGCCCTTTGAGGCGGACGTGAGGAAAACTCTCAAAAGAGTGAATACTCACAAAGCCACCGGCCCAGGTGGCATCCCTGGCCACATCCTCAGAGTGTGCGGTGACCAGCTGGTGGGTGTCTGCTCTGACATCTTCAACCTGTCCCCAGGCTGTAGTCCCCAATTGGTTAAAGAAGACCACCATCGTCCCAGTACCCAAGAAAACCAAGGTGACATGCCCAAATGACTAATCGCCCATCCAGTGGTGTAAAGTACTTAAGTAAAAATACTTTCAAGTACTACTTAAGTAGTTTTTTGGGGTATCTGTACTTTGCTTTACTATTTATATTTTGGACTACTTTTACTTTACTACACATTCCTAAAGAAAATAATGTACATTTTACTCCATACATTTTCCCTGACACCCAAAAGTACTTGTTACATTTTGAATGCTTAGCAGGACAGGGAAATGGTCCAATTCACACACTTGTCAAGAGACCATCCCTGGTCTACCCTACTGCCTCTGATCTGGCGGACTCACGAAACAGAAATGCTTTGTTTGTAAATTATGTCTGAGTGTTGGAGTGTGCCCCTGGCTATCCGTAAGTTAAAAAAAAAGAAAAGTGTGCCGTCTGGTTTGCTTAATATATGCAATTTGCAATGATTTATACTTTTACTTTTGATACTTAAGTATTTTTAAAACCAAATACTTTTAGACTTCTACTCAAGTAGTATTTTACTGGGTGGCTTTTACTTTTACTTGAGTCATTTTCTTTTAAAGGTATCTTTACTTTTACTCAAGAATGACAATTGGGTACTTTTTCCACCACTGGCCCCATCGTACTCACCCCTGTCATCATGAAGTGCTTGGAGAGGCTGGTCATGACCCACATCAAAGCGGTTTGTTCACCTGCACCCGCCCGCAATTGCAAATAACTAATCTGCAACTGGCCAACTATATGTGATGAAGTGAAAATCTGAGGCCCGAACCTGACCCTAACCCGCTAATCTAGAAAATGCACTGTAGGCTACAGTCAGAGACAGCTGAAAGATTTTTTTGATAGAAGGTGTGTGATTCTTTTTGCCTGATTTAGATATGTTTCTGCTTATAATTTGACGTTTTGGTAGGCTATTTGTTAGTCAACCTTTCTATAATTAGATATATGCAGCTTCTATTCTGTCATTATATGTTGCCCCAGAAGACTAAATAAACCCTTGTTCACCAGAATAATGTCATAAATCGATAGAATGAATTCTTCAATCTAGTTGACATCTGTAAAGTTCTCTCTGTCATCTCTGCTTCTTTCGTGCCGCAAAGATGTTTAGGGACCGAGGAGAAAATGCAATAACACCAAATCTTTCCCAAACATTACTTCTCTGCCCCTCCCTTCTCTTTATTTTCAACTTTCCATTTCGCAGCTTTTCTCTTATTGAATTAAACTCCGACATTGTCGCTTAGATCGACGTGACCATTTTCTGCCCACTGCCAAAAGCATTTGGCGATTGGCGTGCAGGCTATTTGGCACGCATACAGTTAGGCCCTAAGGCTTACGCACTATGCCAGATAGCCTAAAATAATGAAAGAAAAACCTCAATGTAGCCTATAGATATAAAATTGAATTATACATTTATGTATTTTTTAACGTATTGTTTTCTCTTTATTCAACCCGCGCATCACTACTGGACGACACTACCCTCTGCAACTGGATCCTGGACTTCCTGACGGGCAGACCACAGGCTGTGAGGCTCCATACTGACTCTTAACACATGGGTCCCCCCAGGGATGTGTCCTCAGCCCTCTGCTGTACTCCCTGTTCACCCATTACTGCATGGCTTTGCACGACACCAACTCAATGAAGTTTGCTGATGACATCACGGTTGTAGGCCTGATAACCAACAATGACGAGTCAGCCTATAGGGAGGAGGTAAGTGAACTGGCATTGTGGTGCCAGGACAACAACCTCCCCCTCAACGTCAGCAAAATAACTTCAGGAAGCAGAGGAGGGAACACACGCCGATCCACATCAATGGGACTGCAGTAGAGAGCAGTTTTCAGTTCCTCGTTGTCATCACTGAGGACTTGACATGCACCAACTACATCACCACTCTTGTCAAGAGGGCGCAACAGTGTCTCTACTTCCTAAGGCGGCTGAAGAAATTAGGCATGCCAACCCGGGTCCTCTCAAAATACTACCGCTGCACCATTGAGAGCGTCCTGCCCGGTTTCATCATGGAATGGTACGGGAATTGCTCCGTCCACGACCGCAAGGCCCTCCAGCGGGTGGTGAAGACTGCCCAGTACATCACTGGGGCCGTGTTGCCACCCATCCAGAGCATCTACTTGAAACTGTGCCTGAGGAAGTCCCACAGAATCATCAAGGACCCCACACACCCCAGCCATGAGCTGTTCACTCCCTTGCCGTGGGGCAGACACTTACCGTTGGGTAGACACTGACTGAGGTCTGATACCAACTGGTTCAGACACCGTTTCTATCAACAAGCCATTAGACTGCTGAACACTTGAACTGGACTGACCCCCTGCACTGACTCTCCACACCTTAGCACACATAGACACTCACGTCACAATTGCTGCTACCAGAATCTTATTTACTATTGCTAATACAGCACAATTTAAAAGGTCCAATGCAGCTGTTTTTTATCTCAATATCAAATCATTTATGGGTAACAATTAAGTACCTTACTGTGATTTTTTTATAATAATAATAATAATAATAATAATAATAATAATAATAATAATAATAATAATAATAATAAAAAATAAAAAAAAGAATAATATATATAGCAAAGAGACATTTATCAAGCAATAACTTTGCTAGGACTGTCTGGGAGTGGTGTAAGTGGGGAGCGGAAACTGAAAACTAGCTGTTATAGGCAGAGAGGTTTGAAACTCTTTTTTATTGGTGATGTCACCAGGCAGGCTAAAACTCAATCCCAGCAAAACAGGCAGAAATGTCAGCCGGTCTTTTCAAACAGCTCTTACACTAAAAGCGCATTGTCATCATTTTTATAATCTCACAGTATTATTCCAACCTCTTAGTGTGGAAATATATATAAAACCCAGGAAATCACATTTCTGATACATGTGTAAATATTGTTCCATAAATTGCGCTTTCCTGTATTATTCTTATGCTAAAATTGTTATTCTATTCTACTGAGCCATTTACTTTAAGTTCATATTCTTATCTTTTATTATTTCTTATTGTTGTTGCATTGTCAAGAAGGAACCTGCAAGTATGCATTTCATTGGATGGTGTATACCATGTGCGTCCTGTACATATGACTAATAAAAAACGTGAACTTGAACCGCAGCTCCAGCCTATAACAGTAACTCTGCTTTTACAGATGGCCATTTGAATGGGGAGGGAAAAATAGTCCCCACAAGGATAGTAAAACAAGGAAAATTATCCCTTGTGGGGACATTTCCCACGTCCCCACGAGGACAGAGGCTATTTTAAGCTTTGGGGTTAGGTTTAGGGTTAGAATTATGGTTAGGTTTGGGGGTTAGGTTTAGGTGTGTGTCCTCACCCTGTAGTCTATGCGTGGAGTTTATTGTTATTTATACATTTGCAGAACAAACAATGTTTGTGTAACAAAAAATGATATATACTGAACAAAAATATAAACGCAACATGTAAAGTGTTGGTCCGATGTTTCATGAGCTGAAAGAAGGATTACTTTATACTATTCCAGGTATTCCTTAAAGAGGTAGGGTTTCAAGTGTCTCCAGAAGGTGGTCAGTGATTCCGCTGTCCTGGCGTCGTGGGGGAGCTTGTTCCACCATTGGGGTGCCAGAGCAGCGAATAGCTTTGACTGGGCTGAGCGGGAACTGTGCTTCCGTAGAGGTAGGGGAGCTAGCAGGCCAGAGGTGGATCAACGTAGTGCCCTCGTTTGGGTGTAGGGTCTGATCAGAGCCTGAAGGTAAGGAGGTGCCGTTCCCCTCACAGCTCTGTAGGCAAGCACCATGGTCTTGTAGTAGATGCAAGCCTCAACTGGAAGCCAGTGGAGTGTGCGGAGGAGCTGGGTGACATGAGAGAACTTGGGAAGGTTGAACACCAGACGGGCTGCAGCGTTCTGGATAAGTTGTAGGGGTTTAATGGCACAGGCAGGGAGCCCAGCCAACAGTGAGTTTCAGTAATCCAGACGGGTGATGACAAGTGCCTAGATTAGGACCTGTGCCACTTTCTGTGTAAGGTAGGGTCGTACTCTGCGAATGTTGTAGAGCATGAACCTGCAGGATCAGGTCACCGCTTTGATGTTAGCGGAGAACGACAGGGTGTTGTCCAGGGTCACGCCAAGGTTCTTTGCACTCTGGGAGGAGGACACAATGGAGTTGTCAACCGTGATGGCGAGATCATGGAGCGGGCAGTCCTTCCCCGGGAGGAAGAGCAGCTCCGTCTTGCCGAGGTTCAGCTTGAGGTGGTGATCCGACATCCACACTGATATGTCTGCCAGATAATTCATCCACCTGACAGATGTGGCATAACAAGAAGCTGATTAAACAGCATGATCATTACACAGGTGAACGTTGTGCTGGGGACAATAAAAGGCCACTCTAAAATGTGCAGTTTTGTCACACAACACAATGCCACTGAGGGAGCTTGGAATTGGCATGCTGACTGCAGAAATGTCCACCAGAGCTGTTGCCAGAGAATGTAATGTTCATTTCTCTACCATAAACTGCCTCCAACATCGTTTTAGAGAATTTGGCAGTACGTCCAACTGACCTCACAACCGCAGACCACGTGTAACCACGCCAGCCCAGGACCTCCACATCTGGCTTCTTCACCTGCGGGATCATCTGAGACCAGCCACCCGGAGTATTTATGTCTGTAATAAAGCCCTTTAGTGAGGAAAAACTCATTCTGATTGGCTGGGCCTGGCTCCCCAGTGGGTGGGCCTTGCTCCCAAGTGGGTGGGCCTATGCCCTTCAGTCCCACCCATGGCTGTGCCCCTACCCAGTAATGTGAAATCCATAGATTAGGGCCTAATTTATTTATTTCAATTGACTGATTTCCCTATATGAACTGTAACTCAGTACAATTGTTGAAATTGTTGCGTTTATATTTTTGTTCAGTATATATTCTGTAAGGGCTTGCGCTCAAGTTTTCTGTAGCCTAATAAAAAGAGCCTAGTTTAGCCTACAACTGGTATTTATAGTGCTTGCCTTGTCGTACGCACGGGTGTATTGTCACTGCTTGTTTAGTCTATGAACTCATTCGATTTCAAATATCCATCATAGGAAACAATGTATCAACACATGGAAAAGTCAGCGGTGGCTTGAAGGCTACTGAGTGTTCTGTTAGAGGTTAGATTACAAACGGGGCAACTGGTAGCCATATCTGTCTAAAAAGAGAAGATGCTAGGCAACTGGAAGACCTTTGTACCTCTCGTCACTATTGAGGCGGCAATGTTAGAATGTTACATACAGTACGCTATGTTCAATAACAGACTATCCGCTCACCTCAACGATGAAGACTCGATCTCTTCGGCACTATCGACACGCGAGGCGGGCGGTAAAACTTCACTATTGCTAAAATACCCGGTCAATATGACTCTCTTGGCGTCCTGCTGGCGACTCATGTTGCGCGACTCATGCTGCATTATTGTTGAAGTTCGCAAGTAACTTAATGTACACAGCTCTAGGAGTAGTAGAGCTGTGTGTGCGAGTGGGGCTGTCTCTCAATGATCTCACTCACTGCCTCCCCTAACATGGATAATCAACAGCTGCCTGAAAGCACCGCCCAGAATGCCGTTGAGCCGTGTAATTTGGGCTGAGTCACTCCTAGAAGACTATGAAAGATCACTTTTTTTCTTGTCCCAGCCATCTATCTTATCTACTTACTTATATGGTCCCCCAGCCATTGGCCCCAGCACTACTAATATCCTATCTCAAGGCACTGACCTGAAAACAGCACAATCATGTTTTACTGCTCTAATATTCCAAGTTACGATATGTTATAGCTCATCCTTGGCCTATATTGATATTAATCATGATGCATGACGCATTATAATGCAATATAATGAAGTATTCCCTTTCATTCCACCTGTACTTTGTGAATTATAATTCACCATTCTGATCCCGATATTGATCTGAGGTCCTCTGTGACTATTGCCTAGTGTTATGGATTCATGGCATTTAAGCCTGCATTAACTTGCTCTTATAGCTGTGTAGTAAAACTGTGATAACTGCAGTACAACAGTTATTCAATTTGTGTATTTTGTGTGATTTATGTAAATGTCCATATCCCCAATTAGAATATGTTGAGGAACTATGTGGGGCTCTTGTGCATGCCAGAAGAAAAAAACATTATGTTACACTTACAAACTGTTACATTCTGTTCCAATCAATTAGTAAATTGGCAGGCTGAATGGGAAGACCTTTCTCCTGGTGTGAAAAGTTATCAGACCAGCTCCAACACGCCTCATAGGTTTGACTTCTGACCAGCATTGGCCATTACAATAAAGGCCTCCCATACTACAGTAAGTTAGTGGACTACCCCTATACTGCCATCTGGTGCTCAGTTACAACATGTTCTGTGTCTGTTGGGTGCAGCAGAGGAAATCCCTTTGTTTTTGAATCACTGGTAATGATGCTCAAAAAGGATCTGGGTTCATTGCTGCGATAACGCCTATCAGTGGGCGTGAATAGAACAACAAGTGGGCAGTATTAATCACAATTGAATACTTAATAGCCACTAAGCTGCAATAAACTTAAATAATATCACAGTAGGTTAAATGAAGTGTTACTGTTGGTATTGAATTTTACATGGTAATTCCCTCTGTGTATACCTCTGGTACCAGTCATCATGTATGGACTGTTTGGCTAGGACTGGTCAGGCAGTTGACCTTTCGAATTATGAATTATGCCATGTATTTAGTGCTTATCATGGCATCATAGTCATAGTCAGATTAGAAAATGGATCTGCTGGTAAATCTACTGCTAAATCTACTGCTGTCACAGAGGTCTGTCCATTATAATGCGTTACTCTGCTTTCTTGACATCTAAGTCAACCAGACAGGTCCTACAGGCCTGAGTTTTGTCACGTCTGGACTACTGCCCAGTTATGTGGTCAGGTGTGGCAATGAAGGACATAGGCAAATTGCAGTTGTTCCAGGACAGAGCAGCACGCATTGCACTCAGATGTACACAGAGGGCGAATGTCAATAACATGCATGTCAATCTCTCCTGGCATATGTAGTGCTATGTACTGTGTATTATGTTTTATTATGTATTTAATTTGTTATTTTTTTATTCCTGTTTGGACCCCAGGAAGAGTAGCCGCTGCCTCAGCAGCAGCTAACTGGGGATCCTAATAAATACTACTAATACTACTACTACTCTGATCAAGTGTTTGAAATACAAGTAGGCCTATAACAAAACCTTGTGTCAATTCACTAAACAGAAACATTTATATTCTTGGCATGTTACTTAACACTTTAACCCATATATGTATTTGATATTCGATGAATAAAGCCCTATCTTAATCCTTCTGGAAAGGTGTGGACACTATGATCTGAGCAAAGCTCTTACCAAGGTGAAATCTACACCATCAGGTACAAGAATGGAGTGAAACTGAATCTGCACATGACAGATGTGGTGTTGCTTGGCTTCTTACACAAGGTTAGGAATGTCAACATGATATTTGTCATATTCTGTGGTGACAAGGTTTCGGCTATTTATTTTGTCGGAACAATAGCCTTCATATGATTTTATCATCCATGGTATACTATTTTGTTATTCCTGAAAGGTTTTTTTTTTTTTTTTTCTGCCAGCTTTGTCCTCTGCGGCTCTGCCAACTTTAAATATCCCTCTTGGATAAAGGACTATCACCAAGCTGCCCTATCTCAACACACAGAACCTCATCAGAAAAAGAAAAAAGAAGGGTAGTAAATGTTTTCAGTGATCTTGTAACACAGTCAACACACATAATTCACTCATGTCCAAGTTACATCAACAAAATCCCACATCCCATAATAGATACAGTATGAGACATGTTCAGTAAAACAAGCTCTAAAAACCTGGGGTGGGGAGGAGGGGAGGACCTCTCTGACTCCGTGGCTCACCTCGCCATGTGCTGCAGAGTGGTGTTGACACACACACAGTCACACACACAGTCACACACACACACACACATGTACACACTCACACAGAGCACACATGCTGTACGCAATCAGCCCCTGAAGAGCTCCCCTTGCATCCCCTCCCATACACACTTCTGCATCTTTGCCTAATCTTATCAAATGGTTAAGGCCCTTCTTAGTTAGTGCTCTCATTCCTACTACAAATCCACTACAAAGAGCATGCTGCTATAGTTGTTGTCAAAGTGAATGGAAGGGGGTGGTGATAGAATCAAACTGTAGGTCTGAAAGTTGGTGCGGCAGGTAGCCTGGGGGTTAAGAGCGTTGGGCCAGTAATCAAAGGGATGCTGGTTCAAATCTCCAAGCTGACTAGGTGAAAGGTCTGTGCCCTTGAGCAAGGCATTTAACCCTAATTTCTCCTCTAAGTCTCTCTGAATAAGAGTGTTTGCTAAATCACTAATATTTAGCAGATCAACCATATTATGGGTAGATATCTTTCCTGTTGTAGCTTTTCAATCCTTTTAGTTGACCTTTTAGTTGACTTCCAGTCTTTGACTTACTTCACTGTCTGGGGTGTGTCTGTGTAAATGTGGGGTCACTGGGATTACAACTGTGACTAGGGACTGACTGCTCGCTACTGCCTCAGTAATTCTAAGCATTTTTAATCCAAAGGGCTTTAACAGACAACAGATGCTCAGGCTTAATAACAATCACCACTATGCGATCCCTAAAGTTCCTCAGTGTTTTAATTAGGTAATGTGTTATAAGACACTAATACCACTTTGTTTTAACCCTAATTGCTCCTGTAAGTCGCTCTGGATAAGAGTGACTGCTAAATTACTAAAATGTCAATGTAATAACACTTTGTTACAGTAATAACACAGTAATAACACTTTGTTACAGTAATAACACAGTAATAACACTTTGTTACAGTAATAACACAGTAATAACACTTGTGTTTATTTCACCTCTAAAAAGAGCAAGTGATTCCTTATTATTTCCAATGGCATGGAGGAGGATATGAACAAGATACACAAAAACAAGAACATTGTTGGCAAGAAGTGTTTAATATTCTCAACAATTCCTTCCAAACAACCTAGAATTGCAAAATATGATATGTGGATTTACAGAGTACCAAAGTTGTGTAGTACAAAAAAACAGAGTATAAAAACATATTATTGACCCTACATCATTTTATAGAAGAAAAGCTCAATGTTTTTGTTAGAAATTTTGGAGCTCATCCGGATACACAAAATTATTCCTGAAAAGCTTGTATGCTAGAAGTTGGCCTCCGAAAATCATCATCACCAATCCAGAACCTATGACACACAGAATGGATAAGATGAGTGAACAAGTGGATTTAAAGGATAGACCTATTTGAATGCATCAGGTATTGAATCACTTGCTAAAGAAATGTAGAACGACTAATTCATGCAATGATCAAAATACGCTGTACATAACAACAAATAATATTTTTATTGGCTCCAAATTGTCTGAAATCAAGTATGATTCCTTACCAAGAGCAATCCAATAATGTTCTGTTGATGGGAAATCAGACATAACTGGATGAAAGAAACAGACAGGATAGTAATTGAATATGACACATATTCAACCATAACAAATAAACTAATACATAAAATCAAGCTTTCTGTCAGCTTGTGAAACTGTATGATCATGATGTTCTTCTGACAAGCCTGTTTATACTAAAGCAGCCTTACAACCTTGCATAACATAACCTACTGTAGATTGAAATCCCATCAATTCAATGATAGGATTAACATTGACATCGTTTGTTCTTCTAATCCAATTCATTAGCAGATACTGAAACTGATACTAAAACATCCACTGAAAAGTGTGTCTCAGATGGGAAGTAGACTCATATGGAGTCATTGATGTGTTTGCTATTATCAAACCTGGCTTTATTGTAGAGCACTGGCAGCACCAGACAGCCAGACGCCATCACACTATAGGGCTGCTTGCTATACAGTAGCGACATTAATTGATGTTAACCAATAGAAAGAGGGACCCTTGAAGCATGGCGCTTGACACAGATGTAAATACAAAGTGGACAGCTGCATATACACCAGGCAGTGATTAGACCATATGTACATAATTGTATTAATCTGTCGATTTACCTAAAGAGTAAATATGCCAAATACAAATCATTGATGGTTTGAGTGATGTCAGGTTTGTTCAGAAAAGCGTACATTTATGAAACCTTGGACAATGAGATTCTTGTCCCCTTGCCTCACTCTCTTGCTGCTTACCTGCTACCGTCAGACCGATGTGTATTAGTGTGACTGTAATGGCGTAGTCCCACACCCACTCCTCGACAATCCACGCAAATATCAGGCCTCCCAAAAGATAGGTCACCTCCATAGAGATCACTGTCACTATGCAGGAAATACAAACTACACACCTCAGCTAACATGCTTACCAACATGAACACACAGAATTAGAGGTAGTCTATCTAAAAAAGGGTGAGGTTGCTAACTACTGAATAACAAGAATAAAGTATTGGATCAACTCACCTAGGTATTTTGGACTTTGCCATGATGGTTGTGTTGTGTAGTCAAAGGGTGCTAAAAGGCTGTCAACCTCATGTACCCTGCAGAGATTATGAATAATGAGAAACTTGGGTCAGAAATGGTTCATTTGCCATTAACTGTAGTTACAGTGTGAGGTAGCACTGGAGACATATTGTGATGCTTTCTGACAGAAACCAAAATGAGGGTTCCATGCAGACACTGTGCATTCTTTAGTGGGTCGTTTCTGTGTTCACGAGACAGGAAGTACACGTCAATCATGTACCACAACATATGACAATGAAACTATATGAAAGACAGGATATACTTCATTTGAATATTGTGGAAAATATATATTATTTTAGACTCACCTCAGAATACCAATGCAGAGACTGACCACTATGTAGTAAACAGCATAGAAGGATATCATGCACATCAGCAAGTTCTGGAGAACAATCTGTAATACATGTTAACATCACATAAGACTCCATCACACAAGACCCTTAAAATGTAAGTCACTCATTCTTAATAAAACCTAAAATATGATCCACAATAATATGGATTCCTTCGACCATTGCTGTTTCCACAAAACTACATAAAAGTTTTTTTGGCCATTTTCAGACTGAATACTTGCATAAACTGAATTCAGATAGGTTCAGTCATTTCAATGGAAGGTATTAGAATTCTATACCAAATGCTCTAAATTGAATAGTGAGCAACTACAGCAGCACATGACCTATGTACACAGTGCCACATTAAGTAGACACTGGTAAACATGTACACCTACTGTCGTTCTCTACTACTAAATTTCCTGTTGTATCCAAAACTGAAGTCCAAGGTCTTTACCCATGTTTCACTGACGTTGGTCTTGATCTTGACTGGTGTTGGTCCATAGCGCTTCAGAGTAGACCCACAATACCCACAACACCTGCAACAGTAGTCCAACAACATGAATGGCCGCCTTTTCTTTTATCAGTGGAGACACTAGAAGGTAGCCTACAGTAGAGCAAACACACCAGGGGATGAGGGCTGGTCTTAATGGTTAATGGGATTACACACATGCAAAAAGCTTCCTGTCTCAATCCAGGCTGGATAAAGCCCGCCCCCAAGGCCCGGACCACTTCTACAGCATCACCCACACACAGTGGCTAGAAATACACCTGAGTGGGGTGACAACCAACCTGTCTTCACATCCCTGTGATGTCACTGCATACATATTCACTGAGCCGTATTGTTTTTTAAGCTATTAATGTGGTGTTGGCCTGTTGGGGTGTATATACTGTAACAGCTGCTGGAGAACCAGGAGGCCAGCCAGACATGACTCTGAGTAAATTAAATGTAAATAGGTCACACACTTCTTTAGAACTGTGGAATTCTCTGCTTCCCTGGACAGTTGATCTACAGTATACTGCACAGCAAATTGGCCAGTGTTACCTAGTAGATTTTTCAAACTTTTCTAATGTTGATTCAGGAGTTAAGTTAACTCTGTAAGTGTTAATTTAACACTCATTGGTGTAAAAGAACCCGAGTGTTGGCATTAATAACCAGAGTTGAACCAAAATCATGCCCATCATTATCATATTTCCCAGCATGCTCTATTGCAGGTTGGTTTTTAGAATAGTTTGATTCAATATCTATGCTTTTTCATGTACATTGATTTATTTATTAATCTTATGCTACTCAAGTATAAACAACATTTTCCTAAACTAATCCAATCTGTTACTTGGACTTATTACACCGGTTACTGAAATGGTTGTTCCAGTTCAAATGCTTTAGGTAGTTTCATATTTTAGTCTCCCCAATCCAGGCAGTCATTTTGAATACTGGTTGCAGGTGAATACAAATTCCAAATGTTAGATATCCCCACTCTGGCTGGATTCCAATAGGAATTACAGATCACTTTGCAAGCCAGCATGAGTTTGAGGTCACTGTATTAGGTTAAAACTAGGCCCTCAAAATAAGGCGTTATGAAATACATATTGTATTGTCTTAAACAATTACATTTTAATGATAACATATTCGCTTAGGATCTCACTTGGTGAAGTCCACAGGACTGAAAATGAATGAATGCAACAACCATGTCACTGTCACTAACAAATACAGTCATGGGTTGTATCTCTACAATTCACTCAAAAGGCAAGGCACACTGGGAAATATGCAAATAAGACTTTACACTAAGCAAAGTGTTAATTTAACACTGTAAAGTGTGGACCGTATAGACACTGGAACCGTGTTAAATTTAACACTCTACAGTGTTGATTTAACACTGGAGACTTTGCTGTGTGTGTGTGCTACTACATATGTTCTCTGTGAAACTGGACATATTCTTGAATGTTTAGAGTTGAGACATTGAACAGGCTCCTGCTACACGGTTGTTAAAACCATGACAGAACTTTGAGGAAAAGCAAACAAGTCCTAAGCACTTAAATCATTATCCCAGTCATAAATCCAGTCTTCAGTATGTCTTTTGACAATCACCCTCCATGCCCTGATTGAGCTTCTTTACTTTTTAGTGAATTAGTGACACTAATCACTAATGTTCTATACAGTGAGTGGATTGTGCCGTGACGCCAATCATGCATTAGAGAAGAGACAGATCACCAACAAAAAGCATGTCTTCAGCTAAATGCTCAGTCTTATGCAAGAAAGTACTCCCAATCAAATCTTTGCCCGCATGCCATTCCACTATGCACATTCCATGAATTGAAATTGATCTCCATAAGTATCAAATGAAATGTACAGTATGGTGATCTGCAACAGCAGTAACACCCCATTCAGTATGCGTTAGCCAGACATGCTCTCACAGAGCAGCCCATAATAATCTGATGACAAAGCATGAAAGATTTTACAGAAAAAAAGTAGTCATACTCATGATCATAACCATTTGTTTTATAACTGCAAGCATTGGTAACAATAAGCTGATTGACTACAAATCTGCACATATAGTTACTGTACATTTGTGTCTGTCTCTAGACAGCCATTACTGATGGAAGTCATACTTTATGTATTCTACTCTAACGTAATATATTCTATTCTATTCTGTACTATTACTTTTACTGGAACAACTCTAGATAAGCTAACTAGAAGTCCAATAAAGGTATTTGAGTTGTGGAATTAAACAGTAGGCCATGGCTACAGCCTATTACTGTTTTACATTTTGATGTCATTAAATCAAGTTGAGCCAATGTGTTTATAGTAATGGAACTATAACATGGCATAAATAAACGTTGTACATCAATCTGATTTTATTTGCATAGTTTCTTGCACAGGACTCACATGGACAGCTTCATTGTATTATATCAACTGCAACGCAAACAAGCTTGCTGCGTAAACCTAAGCACAAAATTGAAAAAATGGGTTGATGGCGCACTACGTACTAGGATACAACACAATGTCGGTATTGAAACGTTTTCGGACGTTCTTTGTGCTATTTCGCAAGTCACCCGGTTTCACTGTCGACAAGCAAACTAGGTTTTATTTTTAGTAACATGGTATTCGTGCTCTTGTATTCCAATCATCGCCTATTTCAGTCTCCAAATATCCACAACGCATCAATAATCATTTGCTGATGGTTTTATTTCGATGGCAAGGTTATGCGACAAATAATGGCTTAATCTATAAATATTTTGTTACTCAACCAGCTAAAACTTTCGATATTGCCATCATGTGTTCTACAGTCTAGCTGGAGCACCCACTGCAAGCACTCGCTCAGAGCCACGCTCATGCGCATTGACGGCTGCCTGGGCAATTTGTCAGTACTCGTGGGAGAATTTTGGGTAAGAAACAGACAAATTAAAACAAATGTACTTTAGGATAAAACAGTTAATGCAGAAAATTATGTCTTATAGTAATTAGTGATCAATTGTGTAGTCTAATACTTTCATTAGAGGTTAATTGAGACGGAATTTGACCAAAACTTAGCAATAAAGTACAAAACGACTGGACGTGTCATCAATAATATCAGCCAGGAAGAGGTTCAATGTAGAGCGTTAATCTATTGCGTTCTAAAATTGTAACAAAAGTTGCGTCGAAAATTACTGCAATCGATAGAAAATATGTTGCGCTACATTTCTTGTCTCTTGGAGACGTATATAATAATGGTATAGTGTACTCTTTCAAGAATAATGCGCTTCTGTGTAATTCCCGTTTATGGATGTGGAAAGGAGGAACCGTGCGCTTGACAAGCGAGCTGGACTAAAATATTTATATCACCATTTCCTTACAAAAAGCTGTCAAGGCAGTTAAATATATTTTTTGTTGTAGTGCAACGAGTCTGCAGGCCTGCCGGTGAGAATTATATAGAGTATATTCCAGCTCCGCCATTTTGGGGAACTGCCTTTAAAACACATTTAATATTATCAGAGCAAAGAAAAGTGTTTAGATCTGATACAATGCATGTTGGGCGTCTTGCTACGGGACATCACTACGTACCTGTAACACTCCTAGTTGGAATATAAAGGAAATGCGAACTGGTTGCGCCCAACCGAATAATTTAATCCCACTCTTAATAAAAACTATTTGACTCAAAGAGCTCGAAATAAATATGAATACCGCTCATAACCGACAATGAGCATCTGATGATAAAATCTAACACACATGGAGAATAATATGTGCACAGTCAACACGCGGAATTTTCCTTTGTAATAATATTTTTTTATCCTTCAAAAAAGTATTCCCGCATACGATGCAATTTTGACATTTAGCAGAGAGGAGTAATCCTTCAAATAGTTTGGGTTGTAAATGAAATTATATGTTCTCGTCAATTTGAAGTTACTTTCATATTGCAATTTCATAAATGAATGTCAACGATTTGCTGTTGACATAGGCTACTGTAACTGCCTGAATGCCTATAGTTTATAGGCGCATACATAAAACATAAATTATAGCCTAAACCCTACCCCAATATCAGGAATTATATTTGAAAGACAGCAATATTGACGCATCATATTGCATAAACTACCAATAATTCTTATTTTCTGTTAAATACATTAGACATTTTCGTCTCCATGTTTTGTTCAGTGATTTCATTGTTGAATAGGGACTGAAAGTTTCAAACGCAGTCGTCTAAAGCTTGTCAGCAATGACCTCTAGTGGTTGATGCACGTCATCGAGTTAAAATCACATGGCTTCCGCTGTTACATTTCGACAGTAGTGAAACATTGTTGCGAAGCAGCTCTGTGAAATGTTATTGAAACATTGTTGCCAAGTGGCTCTGTGAAACGTTACTTTGTCTCTCTTCTTTTCATTTGAGTTGGAATTTAGTTAGCTAATGTTTTAAAAAACCTTTTTAAAGTCAATTTATGTCGATTTAGTAGGGCTATGACATATTTATTCTGCAGTGCATTATTTATTTTCTGGCTTGGCTTCATCGATCATTGTCTATTTCAGATATCCCCATTTTTAACATGGATGAGTCTACAGACACCACAAATGCAGTAGCCCCTGATTTTGATGTGTATGGTGCCATGGACTGGAATGATGGTGTTGGAACCTTACCTGGGAGTGAGCTAAAGGTACAGATCACCACAATAGCCAAAAAGATTCAATGTTGTCATATATATATATACATCTTTTTTTACATGTGTTATACCTAGCAGAAAAAGGAAACATTATAATGAAATTGAATGAGCCATTTTTGTAATGACAAATGCAATGTTATATATAATTGTATACATCATAAATTGTAAAAATCGTAATTAGTTTTAGTTTTTCCTGACCAGGTCTCATGGCCCTAATCACAGTATTCATCTAAATATAATATGCCATTACTCCTCACGTGTGTGTGTGTTATGTTCATCAGTTTAAGGTGAATGAGTTTGGAGTCTTGGAGGTCCTATCAGAGGAGGGTGATGATGAGAGGGTAAAGAAGGCTCAAGCCACCACTACATGGATAGTGCCCACTGCTCAGGAGGGTAAGATGGCATGGTTCAGTGTATACAACTTTGATATGCTCCCAACAGGGATATATTTGTGAGATGTAAGCCTACACATGTACAATGTTTGTATCCCCATTGGGATCTTACATAATATGCACCTGTCTCTCTAGCACCTGACCTGCTGGGATGTGCATATATTTTCTCTTTCATGTTTCTCTTTCAAGTAGGCATGTTTAACTGACAGTTTTCACTACCTTATCATATACCATGCATGCAGTCTTCAAGAAACTACTGGACATCAGTAGTGGTGGCTTTGTTTTTATGACTAGTCACAACACCAGATAATTACATCAGGTAACTGTGCTGTCTGAAATATGTTTTCATCTTTTAGTTTAGGATACCTCTGATATACAGTGAGGGGAAAAAAGTATTTGATCCCCTGCTGATTTTGTACGTTTGCCCACTGACAAAGACATGATCAGTCTATAATTGTAATGGTAGGTTTATTTGAACAGTGAGAGACAGAATAACAACAACAACAAAAACAAAACAAAAATAAATCCAGAAAAACGCATGTCAAAAATGTTATAAATTGATTTGCATTTTAATGAGGGAAATAAGTATTTGACCCCTCCGCAAAACATGACTTAGTACTTGGTGGCAAAACCCTTGTTGGCAATCATCAGACGTTTCTTGTAGTTGGCCACCAGGTGTGCACACATCTCAGGAGGGATTTTGTTCCACTCCTCTTTGCAGATCTTCTCCAAGTCATTAAGATTTCGAGGCTGACGTTTGGCAACTCGAACCTTCAGCTCCCTCCACAGATTTTCTATGGGATTAAGGTCTGGAGACTGGCTAGGCCACTCCAGGACCTTAATGTGCTTCTTCTTGAGCCACTCCTTTGTTGCCTTGGCTGTGTGTTTTGGGTCAGTGTCATGCTGGAATACCCATCCACGACCCATTTTCAATGCCCTGGCTGAGGGAAGGAGGTTCTCACGCAAGATTTGACGGTACATGGCCCCGTCCATCGGTGGGGATGGTGTTCTTGGGGTCATAGGCAGCATTCCTCCTCCTCCAAACACGGCGAGTTGAGTTGATGCCAAAGAGCTCGATTTTGGTCTCATCTGACCACAACACTTTCACCCAGTTCTCCTCTGAATCATTCAGATGTTCATTGGCAAACTTCAGACAGCCCTGGTTATGTGCTTTCTTGAGCAGGGGGACCTTGCGGGCGCTACAGGATTTCAGTCCTTCACGGCGTAGTGTGTTACCAATTGTTTTTATTGGTGACTATGGTCCTAGCTGCCTTGAGATCATTGACAAGATCCTCCCGTGTAGTTCTGGGCTGATTCCTCACCGTTCTCATGATCATTGCAACTCCACGAGGTGAGATCTTGCATGGAGCCCCTGGCCGAGGGAGATTGACAGTTATTTTGTGTTTCTTCCATTTGCGAATAATCGCACCAACTGTTGTCACCTTCTCACCAAGCTGCTTGGCGATGGTCTTGTAGCCCATTCCAGCCTTGTGTAGGTCAACAATGTTGTTCCTGACATCCTTGGAGAGCTCTTTGGTCTTGGCCATGGTGGAGTGTTTGGAATCTGATTGATTGATTGCTTCTGTGGACAGGTGTCTTTTATACAGGTAACAAGCTGAGATTAGGAGCACTCCCTTTAAGAGTGTGCTCCTAATCTCAGCTCGTTACCTGTGTAAAAGACACCTGGGAGCCAGAAATCTTCCTGATTGAGAGGGGGTCAAATACTTATTTCCCTCATTAAAATGCAAATCAATTTATAACATTTTTGACATGCATTTTTCTGGATTTTGTTGTTGTTATTCTGTCTCTCACTGTTCAAATAAACCTACCATTAAAATTATAGACTGATCATTTCTTTGTCAGTGGGCAAATGTACAGAATCAGGTATGAGAATCAGTCAAATTGAGCTCAAAGCTAAGAAAGTGATGAATCATTATCTTTAAAAGTGGTCAGCTGTCAGCTATCTATTTGAACATTTCTGATTAGGCCTTCAATGTATGTCTTAGTTTAGCTCGTGGCTATATTGTTGTTAAAAAATATCAAACAGAGTATGCATGGGATCCTTTGACATTATTCCATTACTCTGTTCTTATTGACCCTGAGCTTAGAAACTTTTCATTAGCCACACAGGAGATGGGTGAGGATGACTTTGCGACTCTCTCTCTCTCTCTCTCTCTCTCTCTCTCTCTCTCTTCTCTCTCTTTCTCTCTCTCCTCTCTTCCCTTTCTCTCTCTCTCTCCTTCCCTTTCTCTCTCTCTCTCCTTCCCTTTCTCCCTCTCTCTCCTTCCCTTTCTCTCTCTCTCTCCTTCCCTTTCTCTCTCTCTCTCCTTCCCTTTCTCTCTCTCTCACTCCCTCCCCAGCCCTCTCAGACAGCGTGTCTGTGGCAGTGAAAGAGGAGAGGCAGGAGGGGCAGTGGGTCCAGAGAGGCCGTGTGTGTGTGCGCTGCCAGAGGACGGGCTCCCCCGTGGACTTCCTGTCTGACTGCCTTCACTGCAGCGAGCGCTGTCTGCAGCAGGACCAGCAGGAGTGAGTGGGCTGGGGAGGACTAGAGATTGATTAGGGTGCAGAGGGTCTGGTCTGGTCCTAACTTCAGTTTCTGCCTGATGCAGTGGGAAAATATGATGCTACTTTCTGGTAGTTGAACTGGTGTTTATTGTGCTTATGAGGTTATTCCTTTTGTAATAACTTTCCCTTATGTACAGTGCACTGAAATAATAGAAGTGACAGACTCACATAGTCAATGTTGATATCATACACTGATGTCAAATGATCATGTTCAAACTATTTTGAAACACAAATATATATAAAAACATTTTTTACTGGTATCGTATTTTCTATTTCTCAATGTGCTTATATGAACAACTATAAACATCCTTCATATGCTTAAGAAAATCAATGAGTCTCCCTCCTATAATTTCTTTGGGCCAGCCATCCTATGCAGATTGGAAGTCAGGAATAATTGATCAGTTAGTTAATGTAAAGACTGGCGGTGATGCTAATGCATGCTCTGAGCTGGAGAGAGTGAGAGCCAGTGCTGCATTGCCGTGGGCCCCATGTATCCATTGTCTTATAGGAGGAGAAGCTGCCAACAGAACGTTACATCTTAAAGTGGTATTCCCTCTGTGGATTTACTACTGCCATGGCAACAGAGAAGGGAAAAAACTGCCTATACATCCTATAATAAACAATTAATTACACTTAATTAGAAACATTTTGAGTTAGATTACAATAAAAAACAAAAGTTTGATTTAGACCATTAATAGCTGATGATGATGATACGATTATACATAGGCAGCCGGTCCCATGAATAAGTCAATGTAGGCGCAATGCGTTATGAATATGAAATACATGTGGTCCCCCTGTACATTTACGACTTGAAAATGCATGTATTAACTCAGTCTACCAGTAGTAACACAATCTGTCTCATTCAATTATTTTCTGCCCTGCATCTCATTAGTTCATTTTTATAACAAGAATATGCAGGGAATGAACACTGTTTTGTGCTGGTCATACTTTAGATATTTTGCAGAAACATTTGCCAGTTCAGATATTTCTGAAACTATAGTTTCTAAGAATTATAATACTTTTTGCATAACCTTTTACTACTAGTTTCTAAATCGCTGGTACTCTATATTCTTTCCACTGCAGTGAGCTGAAGCTGAAGAAAGAGGTGTCTAAGAGCAATGGGGAGGTGGTGGGGGTCAGCCGTAAGAGGCCTCTTCAGCAGGACAAGGAGAGCCTAGCAGACAAGATGGATACCACAGAGGTCCTGCCTGAGGACCATGATGAGGACTATGTCAGTATTACTTTATACTCCAAGGAAGATAATGTTGTTATCTGGAATTCTTATCTATGCTTTCCCCCCCACACACTTTTACAGACATTGTGTACCTACTAAATCACTCCCAACATTTAAAGAAATGTACTGATATTTCTTGATATTTCATCACATTTTGTAGATATTGCTTATGTGATTTAAAGACGTTATAGACAAATAGTTCCAGAGCTCTGTCTGTACATTTTTTGCATCACTCCAGATTGCAAAAGATTGTGAGGGATGATACATTAGCCTTGCATGCCTTTTACTGCTGAGGTGTCATAACTCATACTAAATTAATGACTCACAAAATGCTGTGACCTGATTGGTGCTGAAAACTCTCTGATAGTCTCTGATTTATCATTAATGTTTCAAAATGGAAACATGTAAATTAATACACAAATTCAGAATGATTTCCATACTACCTCATAAACACTGTCCTGATTGCCTGCACCAAAATATCACATTGCTCTAGTCTATACTGTATTTGTGAGTATTCTTAGTTTTATTAGAATGTTCCTGAATTTTCTAGTGTTCTATTGTGTAAATCAAACAGGAGGAGAAAGACAGCAGGAAGACGACGCGTGGAGCTCCGCGAGGCAGGAGGAAACGGAAGGGGGATGCAGCCCTGCTGAGACACAGTAAGTAGAAACAGGCAGTGGAAGGGACACCTGTGAGGGGTGTTTGTGTCCCAAATGGCACCCTATTCCCTATGTAGTGCGCTATGGGGCCTTATCAAAGGTAGTGCACTATATAGGGAATAGGGTGCCATTTGGGACTGTCTCTTAGGACAGAATCTTCTCACTATTTCCCAATCACTAAATTGATATAATCACTGACATTGCACACACACAAACTGTATGTAATGTAATTTATTGCTTGTTACAATCCAATCATTATTTATGGCAGCTGTTCCATATGGAGGGAAGAAGAAGTCTTGGTGTTGGGCCTCCTATCTGGAACAGGACAAAGCCATTGCTGCCCCCACTAAACTGTTCAAAGAGGTGAGCTATCATACCCCTCAGGCCTGTCTAGAATTGGTTATTAACTGAGGTCTAACCTATTATCATTCTCTGTTTCCTTCGAGTCATTCTAATCTTTCTTCTATTTCTCCTTTACAGCTTGTCATTCAGGGTTAAGATGCAATTTCACATCAAGGCCTACATTGTGTCCTGCATGTTTAGAGTTAATTTATTCAACTCATTAACCATATTATTCTTTGCCTACAGCAACACTGTTAAGTTCATTATTTATTCTCCATAAGTCTGGGAATATGTATTTTAAAGGAATTATGTCACGTTTTCCTTTCAGCACCAGGCCTTCCCCCAGAGTAAGAATGGATTCCGGTTGGGTATGAGGCTGGAGGGTGTGGACCCAGAGCACCCCTCCATGTACTGTGTGCTCACAGTAGCTGAGGTAACCTCTCACCTCGACTCATCATCGCTGCCCTCTCAGAGGAGTCTAAACTCATGTCATTGATATCTTCAGCTTTGGGAAGATCTGAAGCAACGTCTGCATTGTCATTGTTCTTGTTCCAGTGCATAGCAATAGTTGTGATCACTAACATGTACTGTATGTGTTGCTATGCAATGGCATTTAGTAAATGACAGTATTTATAAGACCATAAATGCTTGTTTGGTTTGAATTATGTCCACTTCTCTCTACTTAATCTCTGTGTAGCAAACACAGGATGAACATGTTAGGAATGAAGATGCTTAATGCTTCTTCCATGTTTAGGTTTCAGGACACCGAATACGGCTTCACTTTGACAAGAACTCGGACTGCTATGACTTCTGGGTGAATTCCAACTCTGCAGACATCCACCCTGTGGGATGGTGTGAGAAAACGGGACACAAGCTTCACCCCCCCAAAGGTAAGAGACATGCTACCTTCGACAGATACCACCTGGAAAATTTATTGCTTGACATTTTGGATGGGATATTTTCAAACTGTTACTGTAGCACTCCCTCATCTTCTGCTCATTTGTATTTCCTTACTGCTGTATTTGTTTTATTGCGCACCATTTTTCTTTCCTACAGATGTAGGATCTTAATTTGAGCCAGTTTGCTTCAACAGGAAATTTGAATTATTATGTTGATAATTATCATTAATGGCCATTTTTGTAGGGGTTTATACATTTTTCATAAGGGAAAATCAAGTCTGACATTTCAAAGTATAAATTACAAACTTCAGAAGCCTTTTCTTTTTTTTTACCTCAAATACACTACACGTTTTAAATGTCCTGCATTGCAGGAAAGTTCTCCTGCAACAGGGTGATCAAATTAAGATCCTACATCTGTATGTGAGACTAGTCATGTAGGGATGGTTACAGTGGGCATACTTGGGCATGAATTTGACAAGCAGGTGTGTAAGCAGGTTACCCATGGCAACAGGAAAACTGAAAAACAGTACTCAACTATTTTGAAAACACAAAGAACACAAAGATTTTATTTATACGACATACTTGAAATTGAACCAGCGATATTTAATGAGGAGTAAAATAATTCCCCCCCAGTTCTTTATGGAAACGTGAATATAATCCTTGTCATTTCTCTATGGATGGACAGGTATGAAGGATGAGGAGTTCAGCTGGTCGTCGTACATCAAACAGAGCAAAGCCCAGGCAGCTCCCAAGGCCCTGTTTGAGAATCAGAACACGGTAAGAGAAGCCTACAGACCTAGATTAGACCGGGGACACACTCCGATGCATGAACACAAATGAAATCGACATACATCATTGTCCATTTTTGACCGTCAAAAGTACAACTCAAGTCAACTATTTCTGGACGAGTTGTATCAATTTTTTGTCAGTCATCTCCGTTGTCATTCATCCGGCAACAGATGACTCCCATTTAAAAAGCATTGGCTCCATCCGAAATTCTCAGACACAAAATCCCAATGTGTCCACTTTCATATTGCGTTAATAGTAGTGTTTTACCACCACTAGGTGGAACTGTTTAGTTTAGTTAGACTACACATCCTTCACTGAAGTACAGTACTTGACATCAGCCCATACAACATAGATATGATGCAGATGCATGAGCAGTTTAAAGGGTTTAAAGTACAGTTACAGGATCTTAATTTGAGCCAGTTTGCTACAGCAGGAAAATAATCCTGCAGCAACAGGAAATGTGAATTATTATGTGGATTATAATTAATTGACTTTTTTTAAATACATTTTTCATAAGGGGAAATCAAGTCTGACATTTCTAAGTGGAAAATTCCAAACTTCAGAAGCCTTTTAAACCTCAAGTACACTACAAGTTTAAAATGTCCTGCATTGCAGGAAAGTTCACCTGCAACAGGGTGATCAAATTAAGATCCTATATCTGTAGTGTTATGGATGAACCAAATGTGAGCTTTTGTCTCTGAGTAACTGTCCTATTTTTATTTTCCAGACTGTCACCCCACTTTCATATTGCTTTGATACTAGTGTTTTACCACCACTAGGTGGAACTGTTCAGTTTAGTTAGATTTTCCACCCAGGTTTACACATCCTTCATTGAAGTACAGTACTTGACATCAGCACATTCAACATAGATATTACGCAGATGCATGAGCAGTTTAAAGGGTTTAAAGTAGGGTTATGGATGAAGTAACTTTTGTCTCTGATTAACTGTCCTATTTATATTTTCCAGACTGTCACCCCTTTAGGATTTAGAATTGGGATGAAGCTGGAGGCCATTGACAAGAAAAACCCCTCCTTCATCTGTGTTGCCACAGTAACAGACATGGTGGACAGTCGATTCCTGGTGCACTTTGATAACTGGGATGAGAGCTACGACTTCTGGTAATGTCTAACTTTGTGATTACATTTCCTTCAGTACTCAAAATCAAATCACTGTATCATCATCAGCAGTGATTTGTGTTAACTGATGCCAGATCATAGTCATATTTGGAATTTGTGTTGGTGTTGCAGAATTGGGCACTAGATGGTGGTAGATTATTACAACAGAAGGTTTGTGTCTGGGAGGAAAAAAACATTGCCTCTTACAAAAGTGTTTGTTATTCATATTTTACACAAGCAAACAAGCTACATCACTTAATCTGCATAATTGCTTTTAGATTTGGAAGACAAAAATGTCTGTACCATGAATTATTATTTTGACACTCGCACGCACATCACTTTTCTCACAATTATTTAGTCTTAAGTTTTTCCCATTTAATTTGTTTCTTATTGCATTTCTTTGGCTCTGTCTGTTGAGACATTGAGAGTTGTGAGAGTTCTCTTTTCTCACAATTCTTTAGGCCTCCGTTTTCCCCATCAATTTTCATCACTCCAACCCTTGTTGATTGTCACCATTGTTTGGCTTTTTCTGACTGAGAATTGCGTGTGTGGTTACAGTCGTTACTGTGGTTTCATGCCCACTCTGACCTCTCCCAGCTGTGGATTTAGACTGCCAGCCAGGAGGAAGTCCTGATCTGCACGATACAAGAGCTTGTATTGGCTGAATTATGGATGATCACCAATAAATGTCAAGGAGGAGAGGAGAGGGAAAGAGTGGAGCCCGGTGCGGTTAAAATAGGAGCAGACTCACAGAGGGAGATGACTCTCTCACACGTGGTGTCATTACGTATCACATCAGCCAGTCACAGCCAGTCTCAGCCAGTCACAGCCAGTCACAGGCCTCTCCAACATCACAGCTCGGGCCAGAGAGCAGCTAAACCACTCCACTCTGCTCTGTTCCACCCTGGCCTGGCCAGAGAGTAGGACACTAGGACTTTGTCATCCCTTAAAGGAGTAGTTCACTATTTTACAATTTGATGTTAGATGGTTCCTCACCCTGAAAATAGTCTATGGGCCAGGAGAGACTGTAATCCATGGTTCAGTTCTCTTTAAACAGCCACTACACACTTCAGATAACTTTAGCCACCACAAACAATCAATGGAATTGATAGGGGCATGAGAGCGTGTTAATTTTTGTGTGGCCAAATCACCTTTAAGTAACATCAAACAAAATATGGAGTTGATTTGAAATGATTTCAGATGGTTTGGACATAATTTTTTAAAACATGCTCACATGCCCCCATCAAATCCAATCTTCTTATATACATTTTGTTTTTTTGCCTGTGCTGAAGACATCTATATATCGGTCTGCTAATACAGGATTAGTAAAGGCCCAGTGCACTACTTTTGTGAATAAAGTTTAACAAAATGTATTTTTATTTGAATGTTTACCAGCATTTGTAACTTGAGTCTGATAATTACCTGTACTAAACACTTAATCTGATCAATTATAAAGTAATATAAAGATGCTTGATATATGACGAGTAAAAATAACATGACTATATACAGGGAGTACCAGTATCGAGTCGATGTGCAGGTGTACGAGGTAATTGAGGTAGCTATTTACATATACTGTAGGTAGGGTTAAAGTGACTAGGCAACAGGATAGATAACAGACAGTAGCAGCAGCTGGTAGCCATTTTATTAGCTATTTAGTAGTCTTGTTTAGCAGTCTTATGGCTTGGGGGTAGAAGCTGTTCAGGGTCCTGTTGGTTCCAGACTTGGTGCACTGGTACCGCTTGTCATGCAGTAGCAGAGAGAACAGTCTGTGGCTTGAGTGGCTGGAGCCTTTGATGATTTTTTTAGCCTTCCTCTGACACCGCCTGGTATAGAGGTCCTAGATGGCAGGGAACTCTGCCCCAGTGATGTACTGGGCCGTACTCACCACCCTCTGTAGCACCTAGTAGCTGTTTAAAGAAAACGGAACCCTGGATTACAGTTTCTCTTGGCCCATAGACTACTTTCCGGGTGAGGAACCATCTAATATCAAGTTGTAAAATAGTGAACTACTCCTTTAAAGGCCCAGTGCAGTCGAAAACATGATTTTCCTGTGTTTTATATATACATTGAGTGTACAAAACATTAAGGACACCTTCCTAATATTGAGTTGCACCCTCCCCCTTTTGCCCTCAGAAGAGCCTCAATTCGTGGGCCATGTTGACTCCAATGCTTCCCACAGTTGTGTCAAGTTGGCTGGATGTCCTTTGGGTGGTGGACCATTCTTGATACACACGGGAAACTGTTGAGTGTGAAAAACCCAGCAGCGTTGCAGTTCTTGATACAAACTGGTACGCCTGGCACCGACTACCATACCTCGTTCAAGGGCTCTTAAATCTTTGGTCTTGCCTATTCATCCTCTGAATGTCACACATACACAATCCATGTCTCAAATTTCTCAAGGCTTAAAAATCTTTCTTTAACTTTGTCTACACTGATTGAAGTGGATTTAGCAAGTGACATCAATAAGGGATCATAGCTTTCACCTGGATTCACCTGGTAAGTCTATGTCATGGAAAGAGCAAGTGTTCCTAATGTTTTGTACATTCAGTGTATTTCCACACTATGAGGTTGGAATAATACTGGGAAAATGATGATAATGCCATTTTAGTGTAAGAGCTGTTGCAAAGACCGCCTGAAATTTCTGCCTGTTTTGGTGAGAGTTTTGGCCAATAACAGCTACTTTTCAGTTTTCCCCTCCCCACTCAGACCACTTTCAGACAGTCCTAGCAAAATTCTTGCTTGAGAAATTGCTCTTGTTAAGAAGCTATTTTAGTTTATTTTTTACCAATTTAATTGAAAACAGTCGCAGTAAGGTACTTAATTGTTACCCAGAAATGATTTGATATTGAGATAAAAACGTCTGCATTGCACCTTTAAACAAGCTTACTGTAACAACACTGACCACTGAGGTGGAAACAATGACAACCCTCAAATGAGATTATCCACACTGGCACACCACAATAGGGATTGGTTTTACAGTATGTTGAGTACATGCTGAAATAATAAACAGTTTTACTCTCCAAAGATATTTCAGTAACAGCCTATTGGACAAGTAAGGAGAGTTGCAATATACTGACCAGAGAAGCAAGCCCCTTGCAATTTATCCAGCATTGCCGATGCAATGACGGCATCATAACAGTATTAATACCTGTAGTTGTACCTAAACAATGCTACTCATCAGGTCAATGATGTGCCCTCCATCATTCAGTGATAGATGAATGTTGTCCTACTGATGTTTATCGTGCAGAGAGGTATTTGTGGGAAGCTGTGAGAGAAGCGTCCTTTTCTCGCCCTGACACATCAAAGTGTATGTTGCATAACATGCCATCATGGCTAAATGTACGGGTAATCACTCAGAAATAAGGTGGCTGATGCCACAGCCCCCTGCAGCTCTCTGATTCAGAGTTTATTTTATATATTTTTTATTTTACCTTTATTTAACTAGGCAAGTCAGTTAAGAACAAATTCTTATTTACAATGACGGCCTACACCGGCCAAACCCGGACGACGCTGGGCCAATTGTGCGCCGCCCTATGGGACTCCCAATCACGGCCGGTTGTGATACAGCCTGGAATCGAACCAGGGGGTCTGTAGTGACACCTCAAGCACTCAAGCATTGAGCACTGAGATGCAGTGCCTTAGACCGCTGCGCCACTCGGGAGCCCACTCGGGTTGGGTTGAATGTGGAAGACACATTTCGGTTGAGTGCATTCAGTTGTGCAACTGACTAGATATTCCCTTTCCCTCTTAACGGCTAGGCAACCTGCCACCAAGGGAATATGAAATGGGGAAATGTTACATTGGTGAGCAGATGGCATTTTTACTACTGTCCTTCTCCTGCTCTTCTGTAGGTGTGATGCAACCAGTCCCTACATCCACCCAGTGGGCTGGTGTCAAGACAACAACAGGATTCTCACGACCCCTCCAGGTGACATACTAACTCCTGTCAATCATTATTGTCACTATTTGTCCTGTAGATACCAGGATATAGTGTGTAATGATGATTGACCATACAGTTATTAGAGTAAAACAACACATGGAAAGTTTCCAAACAGATGATCTGATCTATACATTATGTTATTCCACTGTGGAGTAGACAGATGGTTTCGAGTGACAGAAAGCACAAGGGACTTTACCCGCCCACACACACACTACATAATAAAGCATATAGTAAAAACATGCTCAATCTGGATCAATCTTTTTCATTGCTCTTCCCTCTAGTTTACCCCAGTGTCAAGGATTTCTCCTGGGGAAAGTATCTGGAGGAGACCAACTCATCACCGGCCCCTGCCAGGGCTTTCAAAGGGGTGAGGCTGTCTCTCTGTCCTCGGCCCGTAAGACGATGTGGCAGCCCCACATCCACATCTCAACACCATTTACTAGAGTAGCCTAGCTGGCTGTCTGCCTGCTGCAGAATGAAATGCTGCCTCACACCCCCCTCTCCCTCTACAGAAACCCCCCCACAGCTTCCTGCCACTCATGAAGCTGGAGACGGTGGACAAGAGGAACCCCATGCTTGTCAGAGTGGCCACCGTGGTAGACACTGACGACCACAGGATCAAAGTGAGAACATATCTATCACTCTCTGTCTACTTTAAACCTCTCCTCGGGGACCCCCAGCCGTTCCATGTCTTTTATCTATTCCAGAGCTAGCACACCTGATTCGACTTGTTAACTAATCATCAAGCCAATGAGTAGGTGAATCAGGAGAGCTAGTTCAGGGCTAAAACAAAATATTGAAACGTCTGGGGGTCCTCGAGGAGAGGTTTGAGAAACTGATCTATCTGACCCCTGTCACTGTGTCTATCATTATCTATCTGTGTCTATCTGACCCCTGTGTCTACCGGTATCTACAGTATCTGCACTCCACACTGGATTCATTCAACATGGCAGTGTCACTCAGCTGTAGCAACACTTCTATCTGTGTCAATAACTACGAATGTGCCCTTCCTCTTATCACTAGTTTGTAGCTCAGACCTGGAGATGAGTTTTACCAGGTGTTGTGTGTGGTTCAGTTCAGCTGTACAGTAGGATTAGCCATTACATCACTTATCTGTACTGTGAACTACAGTATGTAACTTTTTTAATCTGAAAGAGTATAATCCTAGATTACAGAATTATATGCCTAATCCGAGCCCTGTATAGCGCCTACAGCGGGGGAAAAAAGTATTTAGTCAGCCACCAATTGTGCAAGTTCTCCCACTTAAAAAGATGAGAGAGGCCTGTAATTTTCATCATAGGTACACATCAACTATGACAGACAAGTTGAGCATTTTTTTTCCAGAAAATCACATTGTAGGATTTTTAATGAATTTATTTGCAAATTATGGTGGAAAATAAGTATTTGGTCACCTACAAACAAGCAAGATTTCTGGCTCTCACAGACCTGTAACTTCTTCTTTAAGAGGCTCCTCTGTCCTCCACTCGTTACCTGTATTAATGGCACCTGTTTGAACTTGTTATCAGTATAAAAGACACCTGTCCACAACCTCAAACAGTCACACTCCAAACTCCACTATGGCCAAGACCAAAGAGCTGTCAAAGGACACCAGAAACAAAATTGTAGACCTGCACCAGGCTGGGAAGACTGAATCTGCAATAGGTAAGCAGCTTGGTTTGAAGAAATCAACTGTGGGAGCAATTATTAGGAAATGGAAGACATACAAGACCACTGATAATCTCCCTCGATCTGGGGCTCCACGCAAGATCTCACCCCGTGGGGTCAAAATGATCACAAGAACGGTGAGCAAAAATCCCATAACCACACGGGGGGACCTAGTGAATGACCTGCAGAGAGCTGGGACCAAAGTAACAAAGCCTACCATCAGTAACACACTACGCCGCCAAGGACTCAAATCCTGCAGTGCCAGACGTGTCCCCCTGCTTAAACCAGTACATGTCCAGGCCCGTCTGAAGTTTGCTAGAGTGCATTTGGATGATTCAGAAGAGGATTGGGAGAATGTCATATGGTCAGATGAAACCAAAATAGAACTTTTTGTTAAAAACTCAACTCGTCGTGTTTGGAGGACAAAGAATGCTGAGTTGCATCCAAAGAACACCATACCTACTGTGAAGCATGGGGGTGGAAACATCATGCTTTGGGGCTGTTTTTCTGCAAAGGGACCAGAACGACTGATCCGTGTAAAGGAAAGAATGAATGGGGCCATGTATCGTGAGATTTTGAGTGAAAACCTCCTTCCATCAGCAAGGGCATTGAAGATGAAACGTGGCTGGGTCTTTCAGCATGACAATGATCCCAAACACACCGCCCGGGCAACGAAGGAGTGGCTTCGTAAGAAGCATTTCAAGGTCCTGGAGTGGGCTAGCCAGTCTCCAGATCTCAACCCCATAGAAAATCTTTAGAGGGAGTTGAAAGTCTGTGTTGCCCAGCGACAGCCCCAAAACATCACTGCTCTAGAGGAGATCTGCATGGAGGAATGGGCCAAAATACCAGCAACAGTGTGTGAAAACCTTGTGAAGACTTACAGAAAACGTTTGACCAGTGTCATTGCCAACAAAGGGTATATAACAAAGTAATGAGAAACTTTTGTTATTGACCAAATACTTATTTTCCACCATAATTTGCAAATAAATTCATTAAAAATCCTACAATGTGATTTTCAGGATTTTTTTTCTCATTTTGTCTGTCATAGTTGACGTGTACCTATGATGAAAATTACAGGCCTCTCTCATATTTTTAAGTGAGAGAACTTGCACAATTGGTGGCTGACTAAATACTTTTTTTCCCCACTGTATATTTCCAAATTTCTGACTGATGTAATAAAACTCCACATAGAAACTTGGAGGGAAATGTAGTCTTTATGAAAGTGTCCTGTATATGACAAATAAGGGAAAGGCACTAATGTACTGCACAGGGAATTAATATACAAATTATTCAAGACCTCAGCATTGTCACATCCCATTGTCCCAGTACATCAAATTAACATCTGCCTGACTTTCTCCCTGAGATCATTTTGAGGAGAACTATAAGCTTCATGTTCCATGAACTATGAAGTGAACAGTAGGTCAGTGTCAGTGGCCAGCCGGCTGCCTGGGGGGAGTCATGAGGGGATTGCATTATGCTGGGACGTTAATGCAGGACATGTATCTATCCCCAGAGGGCAGTAGTGTCTCCCCCTCTTCTGTCATCCCTATCCTCCTCTTCTATAACCTGCTGTTATCATGTGTCCTGCTGCTCCTGCTGATGGGCCATAGAGCAGTCTTACTTTCTCCTGCTGTCTGGCCCTACAGTATGTCAATGTCTTTCCCTCAGCCTTACTTATGTCGATACTGTTCAGTCATCTCAGTCTAAACCCTTCTGTCCATGGAGCAAAAATAGCCCTTCATAGCATATCTCCACTCTATACAGTCCCTCAAGTCCTAACCTCTACCTGTCCACCTACTGGAAGATTACCCTGATTCATTTTCTGATTAATTCTCAGTTTACATATTTATTCGTGGCTCTACCGACTTCCAGGAGAATCCTTTTTCAAATCATGCGAGACAAAAATATTTCATTTTATTTGGAATGGCAAACCAGATAAAGTTAAACAGACATATTTATATAACGAACATGAGTTTGGAGGTTTAAAACAATTAAATATTAAGGCATTAAACCTCTCTCTTAAAGCCTCCATTATTCAAAAATGATATCTAAATCCAAAATGGTTACCTGGCCGTGTGGTGCCAGGATAACAACCTCTCCCTCAACGTGACCAAGACAAAGGAGATGATTGTGGACTACAGGAAAAGGAGACTGAAAAGATTCGGCATGGGTCCTCAGATCCTCAATAAATTCTACAGCTGCACCATCGAGAGCATCCTGACTGGTTGCATCACCGCCTGGTATGGCAACTGCTTCCTGCCATCCAGGACCTCTATACCAGGCGGTGTCAGAGGAAGGCCCTCAAAATTGTCAAAGACTCCAGCCACCCTAGTCATAGACTGTTCTCTCTGCTACCGCACGGCAAGCGGTACCGGAGTGCCAAGTCTAGGTCCAAAAGACTTCTCAACAGCTTCTACCCCCAAGCCATAAGACTCCTGAACAGCTAATCATGGCTACCCAGACTATTTGCACTGCCCCCATCTTTTTACGCTGCTGCTACTCTGTTAATTATTTATGCATAGTCACTTTAACTCTACCCACATTTACATATTACTTCAACTACCTCAACTAGCCGGTGCCCCCGCACATTGACTCTGCACCGGTACCCCCCTGTATATATAGCCTCCCTACTGTTATTTTATTTTACTTCTGCTCTTTCTTTCTCAACACTTTTTTGTTGTTGTTTTATTTTACTTTTTTATTAAAAATAAATGCACTGTTGGTTAAGGGCTGTAAATACCTGTTGTATTCGGCGCATGTGGCCAATAAAATTTGATTTGATTTGATAAGAGAGGCCCATCCTATGTTTAAGAGTGGGCTCTTTGGCTTTTTGCAGATTAAACCCATACATTTTTGGTGGATTGACAATGGATCCCTGTTAATGGCTTCATTTAAAAGGGAGGATACTTAAAGAGTTAGCTTTAGCCATCAGAACAGCCTCAATTTGTTGGGCCATGGACACTACAAGGTGTCGAAAGCGTTCCACAGGGATGCTGGCCCATGTTGACTCTAATGCAAGTTGGCTGGATGTCCTTTGGGTGGTGGACCATTCTTAATACACACAGGAAACTGTTGAGCGTGAAAAACCCAGCAGTGTTGCAGTTCTTGACACAAACCAGTGCGCCTGGCACCTACTACCATAAGCCATTCAAAGACACTTCAGTCTTTTGTCTTGCCCATTCACCCTCTGAATGGCACACATACACAATCCATGTCTCAATTGTCTCAAGGCTTAAAAATCCTTATTTAACCTGTCTCCTCCCCTTCATCTATGCTGAATGAAGTGGATTTAACAAGTGACATCAATAAGAGGTCATAGCTTTCCCCTGGATTCACCTGGTCAGTCTATGTCATGTAAAGACCAGGTGTTCATAATGTTTTGTATACTCAGTGTATAAAATAACAATTGACACATCAATCCGTTCATTTCAATTTAAGCTATTATATAAAATCCTTGCTACAAAAAGAATGCTCAATATATGGGGCATTGAACAGTCAGCATTGTGCAGACTGCCTTGAGGAAACAGAATCAATAGAACATATTTTCTGGTACTGTCCATTGGTGGCTCGCTTTTGTAGTCAGGTCCAGGAATGGTTGTTATGTCATAATATCAAGGTTCAGATGGGCCTGCGAACTGTATTGTTAGGGGATCTGAAAAAAACACGATCAGTCAATGTGAAATATCATTACACTCTTCTGTAAAGTATTTATTTTTAGGGCAATATCAGTAGAAATGTTACAAATAGGGAGGTTCAGGACTCTCGTAAGACATCACAGTAAAATGGAGGGATGTGTTGCAAAAGGAAATAACAAAATGACATTATACTGGGAAAGATGGGTTCATCTATGGACATCGGAGGGTTGGAGTTAAGATCAGAATGAATGGTGGAAAATTAGGAATATATGTATAATTATTTAACTACATGTACCATACATGTGAATGAAAATAGCTGTAAGTAGCAGTAGAAGTATTGTTGTCAGTTAGTTTACTCCAATCAGCAGAGGTGTGGTAGGGTTGGGGAAAATATATAAATAAGGGGAATTAGAAATGATGCAAACAATTAAATTGATAGAACCCAAAACCTATCAACAACATTAAAGCTGATCTACGTCCCCCCACACACAAAAAAAACTAAACAAAACAAATATATGAAATAAATCCAAACCCCTAAACTGTACTCTACTTTCACTCCTCCAATTATATACAAGCCTTTAGATGTGAACTGGACCTCTGTCCTAACCTTTATCTTCCATCCCCCACCACCACCATTCCAAGGCAGTGTTCTCTAAAGCTCCTTCCTTCCATCCCACCACTCCATTCCAAGGCAGTGTTCTCTAAAGCTCCTTCCATCCCACCACCACCATTCCAAGGCAGTGTTCTCTAAAGCTCCTTCCATCCCACCACTCCATTCCAAGGCAGTGTTCTCTAAAGCTCCTTCCATCCCACCACTCCATTCCAAGGCAGTGTTCTCTAAAGCTCCTTCCATCCCACCACCACCATTCCAAGGCAGTGTTCTCTAAAGCTCCTTCCATCCCACCACTCCATTCCAAGGCAGTGTTCTCTAAAGCTCCTTCCATCCCACCACCACCATTCCAAGGCAGTGTTCTCTAAAGCTCCTTCCATCCTCACCACCACCACCACCAACACTCTCACCACTCACACACAAACCAACACTACATGCATTTCATTCTCTCATTGTCCCTTCAACCATCACATGCATTATCTTACTGCTTCCCCGTCTCCAGTTCCTCTGTAAACCATCACTTGCTTCATATTTCATGTTGTGTCTTCAACTGTAACATAATAATAGGTGTGTTCAGCCAGGGAGGGAAGCAGGCTGTAGACTAGGAAGGTCTGCCTTCCCACAACTCCCTGGTGTGCTCCTGTCTCTTGTTTGCCCCACACTGTGAAGCACACTCTCATTGTCAGGAGTGTGAATCAGAACTGAGGGAGAGATAGTTATCAAGTAGGCTGTGTGTCTTCCTCACACAGACAGCAGGGCAAGCCAGCTGTAAGAGGCAGTGCCAGGGGCTTCAGTCTGAGACAATGCTTGTCAGGTAGACTGGCGCAATTAGCAGTTAAGCGTCTTACCTCCAAGACATGTTCTTATCATGTCTACCATGGTTTTGACAATCTCTTTTCCCCACATTTCTATATTTAGCTATTTTACTGTTATTATTTGTCCTTGGTTTGTGTGTTCCTCTAGATCCATTTTGATGGCTGGGCGGATGATTATGACTACTGGGTGGACACAGACAGTCCGGACATCCACCCTGCGGGCTGGTGTGCTAAGACTGGCCACCCCCTCCAGCCCCCGATCAGTGAGTGGCTTTATGACTCATCCTAATCTATTCATGTCCAGCTCCCTCCCTCAGTTCCAGACATACGGTTCCAAGCAGACACACTTAGAGGCAGACCTCCATTGATGCTGCTATTTCTCATCCCATTCCATCATAAATGGCATAATATGCTTTCCCTGATCTGCCATCATTATATTTAAGGGGTAGTTGAAGCCTTGTTTGTGAAAAGAATTGCTCAAAATTACTCAAGATGTTTGATGGCTCCTGTGTCCTGGCTCTCTCTGTGGTCAATATCCTGTGTTTTGCCAAGAGGATGCTGGGAGGGGAACAATGAACTTCCCTCTGCCTCCTCTTCCCCTTCCTGATCATTTCTCCCTGTGTAATGGTGTCCATGGAAACGTGGAGTGGAGAAGTCAATGCTGCCGTCAGGTTTCAGAGTACAGAGATGGGTTCTCAGAGAGAGAGCTACTGCTCCACATGGCAGCTCACTTGTGTCATGGGGACAGATCCAGGGAAAGATCTGCTTTCTCTCTACCCGTATGGCTCTCATTAGTACCAACTCCTTGTGAGGTTGACACCTACTCCTTGTGACTCTGAGGCTATCCTAATATGGACACTTTGACTGAGGCTATCCTAATATGGACACTGTACTTACATTAGCATTACATGAATCCAATAGATTTTGTAACATTATTCTAGGATGGTTTGCCTGAAGTCATGTAGTGAATAATGTCTCACTAGGTAGATCAAAATGGAATATCTCCCCCTCTCCTCATCCCCAGGTCCACAGGAGCTGTTTGAGTCGTCAGGGCAGGGCGGATGTCCCACCCCAGGGTGTAAAGGTGTGGGCCACATCAAAGGAGCCCGCTACTCTGGACACCACAGGTACTCTCTCTCACAGTACAGCACTCAATCTGGCTGGCCAGTATTACAATGACCATCCACTGGAAACTCACACATAACACCAACAGGCTTCATATCACTACAGGCCGGTGAATGGTCACTTGTTGCCGGTCAAACTGGGGCTTATTGCTCATTGATCCAACGGTTACATTAATTAGCGGATACTGTAGCATAGAGATCTGTGATGCAAAAGACACCCAATATATGCCTACAGCAGCTGTGTTAGGTCTGGATGTCAACAGTATCGGTATTGTACATGATCCACACGTACCTGTATGCCCTGAGGTGAAGCTGTATAGAGGCTGTAAAATTGGCTGTGTGGAGCTAGAAGCACAGCCGTGTAAGCGCATTAGTGTCACTCCCTACCATCAGTATTCATCACCATTCTTTCCCTTTTCTCCTAAGAAACCACATCTCCACTCTCCATACACCCACAATGATGCATTAGCATCAGCTGGCATAATAACTTCGACGTTGCTGTCTTATATGATATAGTTACCTGAGGTCATAGATACTGCTGTAGAGTCACTTTTTAATGGGGACACTGTACCATGGTTCAGTATCTGTAATGTAAGCTGATTAACCTTGGAGTCTGAGTACATAATGTAGTTTATTAAAATGTATTTATGGAATGAAGGGTGCTTTATCAGTGTTTGTTGGCAAACCTGGTATATTAAACAGGTAGCGCCACAGCTAGCTATGGACAGAAATAATGGGAAAGAGGGAGGAATGAGAGAGGGATTAGAGGAGAATGAGAGAAACGATTCAATCTCTCTTCTCTCTCCTCTCGTCAGTCAAAGTGGTCGCAGTTACTCAACCATCCATACCCCCATTTATATGCAAATATGTTGTTTATATATTTCCATTTTAGTGGAGTTAAAGTCTGTTTCCCCCTAAGGTAATGAAAAGTAGTACATTACACAGGTTGGGGGGTGATAATGCAGTGTAAGGAAGTTGTCACAGTCTGCACACTGCCAGTGTCCGCAGCAAATTCAATGTTTCCAAATTGAGATTCATCACCCTGGAATTAATTACGTCAACCCCAGAATCTCAGAATTATTTGGTTTACTGCAGTGACTACTGAGAAGTACTAGGAACTGTGTAAACTCATGTGTTTTACGACAACATCAACGTTTGCCTGATTAGACAGGAAAGAGAGTCTGTGACACGCTCTCAGTGTGAGACAGCTTCCTTATTCTCATGATTTTGAATTGCTTTTATTGATTCTGTCCCCAAGAACATTGATGTGTGAAATCATATCTTGTCTGACGGTGACATATGTTATTAATACCTTATTAAGTTATAATTAAGTCCTATTGTGAAGTTGTTATTACACAAAGTCCTTTTTCTTAAATCAGTCATTTGTAATAATGTCCATGTTCTGATTTGCAGTGCGGTGGGATGCCCATACTCTGATATCAACATCAACAAGGACTCAGTGCTGCCAGACCGTCTGAGTGGTGAGATGCCAGGGTCAGGAGGACTGGGCCGACCCCGACGGGCAGAACCCAACCCAGAGAACCACTCACCAGCTCTCAGTGCAGAGTAAGGACCAATCAGCTCTTAACTAATCAACATTCTCAGACATTCCCAGACAGACTGAGACAGATGACATTTGGCTGAAACTATGATTGTGTAGCTTAATATTTTGCAATATAACTTACTTTCAAAATTCCTTCAAGCATTTTAGCGGCTTAACACCCATAAAAGTGTGAACAGCCCTCATCTATTTCTGTCTGAAGTGACTCACATTCTTAACAGTTCCCTGCCAGCCATGGCGCTCTTAATATGTTCTTTCTGCACAAGTTAAAAGCAATTTCTCTCTCTGACAATTTCTTAGCAAGCACTTAAGCGCCAACACAAATCACCTGGAAAAGCCTGGCAGGGGAGAGAAGGCTGGCAGCGGCATGGTGAAACCCGCCGGCACAGAGCCCAAGAGGAGGTGAGTGGCCCTTACAATGCATGTGAGTAGCCCTACTCTCCGGAATGGCTGCCAGACCCAGCATTAAATCTGATGGTGTGACTGTACTGTGTTATTACTGCCTGCCTGCCTGCTGGCCCAGTGTTGGACTCTGATAGGACTGTGAGGACCTGATATGCTAGTCACGTAACAGTTTGTGAATAGCTTGTGAATTTCTGATCTTTGTGTGAAATCTGCTGCCTTCGTCTGACTTTGGCATTAGGTATTGACTTTTTGGTAACCTTGCTCTGACCCTTCACGGACAGTTTATTAAGTCCCCCATCTGCCGGAAACGTTCCACAGGGATGCTGGGCCATGCTGACACGATGGCATCACACAGTTGCTGCAGATTGGATGGTGGTACATTCATGCTGAGAACACCCCGTTCCATTTCATCCCAAATATGCTCTATTGGGTTGAGGTCTGGGGACTGCACAGGCCACTCAAGTAAACTGAACTTGCTGCCATGTTCCAGGGGATGTTTTTCCGCTCCTCAATTGTCCAGTGTTGGTGATCGTGTGCCCACTGGAGACGCTTCTTTTTGTTTTTAGCTGATAGGAGTGGAACCCGTTGTGGTCGTCTGCTGCAATAGCCCATCTGTGACAAGGACCGATGAGTTGTGCGTTCCGAGATGCCGTTCTGCACACCACTGTTGTACTGTGCTGTTATTTGTCTGTTTGTGGCCCGCCTGTTAACTTGCACGATTCTTGCCATTCTCTTTCAACCTCTCTCATCAACGAGATGTTTTTGCCCACAGGACTGCCACTGACTGGATGTTTTTTGTTTGTCACACCATTCTCGGTTAACCTTAGTAGGGCTGACCCCATTTAGTCGACTGCTCGATTGTTTGGTCGATAGGCTGTTGGTCGACTGAGATTTCTTTAGTCGCGCAGTCGCAAATATATATTTTTTATGGTGTACAAGACACCCGTCTGATTGGCGCCTGTCTCAGTGGACTAATCCATTGCGGAAGCTACAGGGATGGCACAGTCCATCACTCAAAGACATGTGCTACTGAAATTGTATATGGTTATATTATGTAAAAATAATGGTGCAACACTAATAAATACAGTGCATTCGGAAAGTATTCAGACCCCTTGACTTTTTCCACATTTTGTTACGTTACAAATTATTCTAAAATTGATTAAATTGTTTTTTCCCTCATCAATCTACACACAATTCCCCATAATGACAAAGCAAAAACTGGTTTTTAGAAATGTTTGCAAATGTTTTATTTGTTTTAAAACTGAAATATTACATTTGCATAAGTATTCAGACCCTTTACTCAGTACTTTGTTGAAGCACCTTTGGCAGCGATTACAGCCTCAAGTCTTCTTGGGTATGACGCTACAAGCTTGGCACACCTGTATTTGGGGAGTTTCTCCCATTCCTCTCTGCAGATGTTGCTGCACAGCTATTTTCAGGTCTCTCCAGAGATGTTCGTTCGGGTTCATGTCCGGGCTCTGGCTGGGCCACTCAAGGACATTCAGAGACTTGTCCCGAAGCCACTCCTGCGTTGTCTTGGCTGTGTGCTTAGAGTCGTTGTCCTGTTGGAAGGTGAACCTTTGCCCCAGGTCCTGAGTGCTCTGGAGCAGGTTTTCATCAAGGATCTCTCTGTACTTTGCTCCGTTCATCTTTGCCTCGATCCTGACTAGTCTCCCAGTCCCTGCCGCTGAAAAACATCCCCACAGCATGATGCTGCCACCACCATGCTTCACCGTAGGGATGGTGCCAGGTTTCCTCCAGACGTGACGCTTGGCATTCAGGCCAAAGAGTTCAATCTAGGTTTCATCAGACCAGAGAATCTTGTTTCTCATGGTCCGAGAGTCTTTAGGTGCCTTTTGGCAAACTCTAAGTGGGCTGTCATGTGCCTATTACTGAGGAGTGGCTTCCGTCTGGCCACTCTACCAAAAAGTCCTGATTGGTGGAGAGCTGCAGAGATGGTTGTCCTTCTGGAAGGTTCTCCCATCTCCACAGAGGAACTCCAGAGCTCTGTCAGAGTGACCACCGGGTTCTTGGTCACCTCCCTGACCAAGGCCCTTCTCCCCCGATTGCTCAGTTTGGTCGGGTGGCCAGCTCTAGGAAGAGTCTTGGCGGTTCCAAACTTCTTCCATTTAAGAATGATGGCGGCCACTGTATTCTTGGGGACCTTCAATGTTGCAGAAATGTTTTCGTACCCTTCCCCAGATCTGTGCCTCGACACAATCCTGTCTCGGAGTGCTACAGACAATTCCTTCAACCTCATGGCTTGGTTTTTGCTCTGACAGGCACTGTGAACTGTGGGACCTTATATAGACAGGTGTGTGCCTTTCCAAATAATGTCCAATCAATTGAATTTACCACAGGTGGACTCCAATCAAGTTGTAGAAACATCTCAAGGATGATAAATGGAAACAGGATGCACCTGAGCTCAATGTTGAGTCTCATAGCAAATATACTTATGAATACTTATGTAAATAAGGTGTTTCTGTTTGTTATTTTTTATACATTTGCAAACATTTCAAAAAACCTGTTTTCGCTTCGTCATTATGGGGTATTGTGTGTAGATTGCTGAGAAAAAAATTATATTTAATCCATTTTAGAATAAGGCTGTAACATAACTTTCCGAAGGCACTGTATAATAATATTTTATAACAAATGCGCTTTATTCCGCGTTGGATAGCGGTCACTGTCCGCGGTTCTGAAACATAATCTTCAGTTTGTCATTGAATTGGCGCCCTTCCCTATATGTTGCTATGTGCATAATAGCGAAGTTAACCAGCATATTGGTGTTGAGAACACCAAGCCTCACGCAACCGCTGGATAAAGCTATTTCACAAATTCAGCTGTTTTTAGTCTTTGCTCTGCTGTAATAAAGGCTTTTTTTTCCCGTTAGAACAGACTGGTATTACTTATTATGTAGTGTTGTTTACACTGTTCCAAACAGGCAGAAAAATAACATTGTAATCTAACAGCACCTGTTTGTCACACATAATATGCACGCAGCTCTCGCTCATACACCCTCCTTTTTCTAGATCTCCTTCTTATTGTTATTATTACTAGTATTATTATGATCATCATTATAATAATAAGTAAGGTCATTATCATTCATATAGTAGTAGCCTTGCATAACCACCATCAAGCTGTAGGCCTAAGAGCACTTCCTGTTTAGTCTAAATACCGTAACCTTCTTAGGCCTATATTTCAATGTATAGGCCACTGCAGGGGCTCCCAAACTTTTTTGGCCCACAACCCCATTTTGATATCTGAAAATTCTTGCAACCCCAACCATGTGAATTTTTTTGTATAATTAACAGCCAATGTTTACTTTTTTATTTGAGGATATGCCAGTCAACATTCTAACAGTATTTCTGATTGTCCTTTCAACTCACCGTCACATACTTTTAATGTGGGGATATGACAGCAAATTGCAAATTAGTCTGACATAATGTATCTTATCTCACCACCACTAATGAGATGGGTGTGCTTGTGATGAGGTGTGAATGACGGAGTCAGGCGCAGGAGGTAAAACACCGAAATCCAGAGTTTATTCAGTTTACATGAATAAAGCGCAGCAAGCGTCCAAAACGAAACTAGCACAAGGGAAAAATCCACCATGGCTACATACATGGAAAGAGTAGCTCAACCGAGCTACTCACTCTCACAATGAACAATCACTCACAAAGGACAAGGGGGCAGAGGGAACACTTATACACAGACTAATGAGGGAATGAGTACCAGGTGTGTGTGTTTGACAAGACAAGACAAGACAAGACAAATGGAGTGATGATAAATGGAGCGATAGTGGCTAGTAAGCCGGTGACGACGAACGCCGAAATCTGCCCGAGCAAGGAGGAGGGGCAGCCTCGGCTGAATTCGTGACAGTGCTTGAGCTTCTCAAAGTTAGGGGACGTGGTCGACAGTGAACACCTCATCTCTGCTGTCACATCCAACCTGGATCGATATTTGGTTTTAATGCAGACGAGAGCACTAAATCCAGCTTCACACAGATATGAGCTGGCAAAGGGTACTGTGAGTTTTATGGTGCTTTCAAGACAACTGGGAAAAATACTAGGTGAAATCATGATGTCAGTGATCTTCAGGTCGGAAAGTCAGGGCTCTAGAAAGAGGCCCTAGTTCCCGAGTTGGAATTCCGAGTTGGATGACCATTCCCAGTTGTTTTGAACGCGCTGAAGTTGGAAGTTGAAGATTTCCAAGTTCCCAGTTGTTTTGAACGCGGCATTAATGCTCAGAGGGAGACAGCAGGGTATTCCCTTTGAGTCAGGAACCAAAACTCCTCCGTAGTGACCCGTGAATGCATTCGGTCACATGATTCATCTGTTTTTCATCAATATAGCTACGCATCACACTGAACATCCCCTGTGCCGTTTCATGCTCGGGAATCGTGAGACAGAACAATATGTCCTCAAGAATAGCATCCTCCGACATGTGTAGCGAACAAAAGTCAATGCATGGGCATCTCGGCCCTCACAGCTAACATCCATTTGGAGAGCAAATGCTGGGGAGTTTTTGAGTCGTTCAGTCAGAGTTTCATCTTGATTGCTAAATTCTTTGTTTAACAGTGTTATCTGACAAAGGTATTGATGTGAGTTTGTGTGCCTCTGTCTCCCCAGGCATTGTTTTCACCATATCAATTGCGGCCGGTAATATCAAATTCTCTGCAATAGTGTGTGGTTTCATAGCGTAGCGGGCCTAGGCATTCACCATGGGAATGATATATATAAATATACAGTGGGGAGAACAAGTATTTGATACACTGCCGATTCTGCAGGTTTTCCTACTTAAAAAGCATGTAGAGGTCTGTAATTTTTATCATGGGTACACTTCAACTGTGAGGGACGGAATTTAAAACAAAAATCCAGAAAATCACGTTGTATGATTTTTAAGTAATTAATTTGCATTTTATTGCATGACATAAGTATTTGATCACCTACCAACCAGTAAGATGTCCGGCTCTCACAGACCTGTTAGTTTTTCTTT